TTTTGGTCTGAACTCTCATTCTTTATGCAGGTTTTTAAAGCAGTACCTTGTGCTATTACTGATAAACCAAATGTCTTCTGGATTGTTTCGAGCTATTGCAGCACTTGGTAGGAACATGATCGTGGCCAACACATTTGGGTCCTTTGCACTTCTCATTCTTTTTGCCTTGGGTGGCTTCATTCTGTCAAAAAGTGAGTTCAGTTAACAAATGCCACAAAATTGGTATTATCATCTTATAATGGTAGTTGATATTAATGCTTCTTTGTTTTCACTGGCAATGAAATAGATGATATTAAGGACTGGTGGATCTGGGGTTACTGGATTTCGCCATTAATGTACGGACAGAATGCAATAGTGGTGAATGAATTCCTTGGAAATAGTTGGAACCACGTAATTTCTTCTTTAACTAGAACTTCAGCGATTATTTACTTTATGTCAAAAAAGTGTAAGCCTAATTTGTTTGCTTTGCAACTACAGTTCACCCCAAATTCAAATAAGACATTGGGAATTCAAATTTTGGAGTCCCGTGGGTTCTTCACACATGCATACTGGTATTGGATAGGAATTGGGGCATTGATTGGATTTATCTTCCTTTTCAACATTATGTACACTTTGGCTCTCTCTTACCTAAATGGTGAGTATTTTCACATTTGGCTATTTAAGATTCTCGTAGCAAATCAAAACTTGATTGACACGTTACATTGTTTTTGCAGCATTTGATAAGCAGCAGACAACAATAACTGAAGAATCAGAAGGTGATATGGCTAATGGGAGAGCTCAAGAAGAATTAACATGCTTAGGTGATTTATCTTATTTATATCTTTTGTGAAAACTCGATACATGTATAATATTTTCAATTTCCGTGCAAGTGCTTTGGTGAACAGTTTTTCCACTGTCATGCAGAAAGTTCTGGTGTGGGTTGTAGCCGAAGAATGAATAGAGGAATGGTTCTTCCTTTCGAACCATATTCTATCACATTTGATCAAATAGTGTACTCTGTTGATATGCCACCGGTAAAATCACTTCAAAGTTATAGCTAACATCGGTTTCTAACAGAGATTTTGTCTAAATTTATTTTTAGTCTAAAAAAAAGTTAAAACATAGTCCTTGGGATTGGCAGGAAATGAAGGACCAAGGTGTAAGGGAGGACAAATTGGTGCTTTTGAAAGGTGTTAGTGGTGCATTTTGTCCTGGTGTTCTCACAGCTTTGATGGGTGTAAGTGGTGCCGGTAAAACTACATTGATGGATGTTTTAGCTGGAAGGAAAACTGGTGGGTATATTGAGGGAAACATAAATGTTTCTGGTTATCCCAAAAGGCAAGAAACATTTGCTCGTATTTCTGGTTATTGTGAGCAGAATGATATCCATTCTCCTCATGTTACCGTCTATGAGTCCTTGGTCTACTCTGCATGGCTTCGTTTATCAGCGGAAGTTGAATCCAACACTAGAAAGGTTAGCTACAACTTACGAGTCAACACACAACACCCTTTGGTTTTCTTTATTTTACTTGAAGTAACATGGTCCAAAGCAATTTACAAAGTTAACGTGTTGTACTCTAATGAAGAGAATTGGCTTTTTGATGTCAAGAGGCTAAGGTATAGCCAAATCCGACAAACACAAAATGATCGTTGTCACTTATGGATTTGAATATGGTTGTAGATGTTCATTGAGGAAGTCATGGAACTCGTGGAGTTGAACCCACTGAGAAACTCACTGGTTGGCTTGCCTGGTGTGAATGGTCTCTCAACAGAACAACGGAAGAGGCTAACAATAGCAGTTGAATTAGTGGCTAATCCGTCCATAATTTTCATGGATGAGCCTACTTCTGGGTTAGATGCTAGAGCTGCTGCAATTGTAATGAGAACTGTGAGGAACACGGTTGACACGGGAAGAACAGTTGTTTGCACCATCCATCAGCCAAGCATAGACATATTTGAAGCTTTTGATGAGGTGAGAAATGGTATGATGAGATATTTGAAGATGTGTTTTATAGTTCTTGTCCATTAGACAATGTGTTTTATATATACATGTCATTTCAGTTATTCCTAATGAAGCGTGGAGGACAAGAAATATACGTTGGGCCATTGGGACGTCATTCTAGTCAACTGATCAATTATTTTGAGGTGGGTGCAACTTCATTTCAATATCATTTAAAGTAGATACCCATGTTTTTGCAAGTATTTACTTCTTTTTCATTCTTTTCTACTTGCCAGAGCATTGAAGGGGTCAGTAAAATCAAAGATGGCTACAATCCAGCAACTTGGATGTTGGAAGTCACAACTCCAGCACAAGAACTTACTTTAGGTGTTGATTTTCATGAAATATACAAAAATTCTGAGCTCTATAGGTAAGAAAATATGCATGTGTATGAATTTATATTGGACAAAGGCTCAGACTATTGTACACTAATAATGACTATTCTTCAGGAGAAACAAGCAACTTATAGCAGAGCTAGGCAACCCCGACCCTGGTTCAAAAGATCTTCATTTTCCTACTCAATACGCTCAGTCACTTTTGGTTCAATGCCTAGCTTGCTTATGGAAACAGCATTGGTCATATTGGCGCAATCCACCATATACCGCTGTGAGATTTCTATCAACTACTGTCATAGCTGTGATGTTTGGAACAATGTTTTGGGACCTTGGAGGCAAATAGTAAGTCAAAATCTTGTAATTTAAGAATAATATATTATTACATTTAGCCAATTTTGTTTTTCTACTTAAATTTTGATTCCTTTCAATGGCTTCCAGTTCTAGCAGACAGGACCTATTTAATGCCATGGGTTCAATGTATAATGCTGTTCTCTTTGTTGGGATCCAAAATTCTGCCTCTGTGCAACCTGTGGTAGCCATTGGAAGAACTGTCTTTTACAGGGAAAGAGCTGCGGGAATGTATTCTGCCTTTCCTTATGCACTTGCACAAGTAATAAGATCACTATTTTTCTTTTATAAAGGAAATATAATTGCAATATGGTTTACATACCCATTAACACAACTCACTCCTTCTTGTCATAGGTTTTAATAGAGCTACCTTATATTTTTGTGCAAGCTACATCATATTCTGTCATAGTTTATTCCATGATGGGATTTGAATGGACTTTAGAGAAGTTCTTTTGGTACCTGTTTTTCATGTACTTCACATTATGCTACTTCACCTTCTATGGCATGATGGCTGTAGCAGTCACACCAAATCACCATGTTGCTTCGGTTGTGGCTTCTGCATTTTATGGAATTTGGAACCTCTTTTCAGGATTTGTCATTGCACGACCTGTAAGTATTGTCAACCTTTCAACATATTGTATGTATAAAGGAATTCAAGTTTTATGACGATCCTCACTTTTATTTTCCATTTTGTTACCTTCTTTTGTGATAGAACATGCCTGTGTGGTGGAGGTGGTATTACTGGGCATGCCCTGTGGCCTGGACCATATACGGGTTGATTGCATCTCAGTTTGGAGATATAACCCATGTGATGAAATCAGAAAATATTTCAGTGCAAGAGTTCATAAGAAGTTATTTTGGTATCAGACATGATTTCATAGGAGTTTCTGCAGTTATGGTTTCTGGGTTTGCAGTGCTATTTGTTATTATTTTTGCTGTCTCAATCAAGGTCTTCAATTTCCAAAGGCGATAGATTAGGCTCTTTTCTTCGACACGAGTGATCTTTTATGTTTTCAGAAATTTTGTAGATTGTTGTATTTAGTATCATGTTCATAGACTGAAGTTGTTCCTAGTGAATATTTCTCAGAGTGATAACTCTATAACAATTGAATGAGAATCTATTATTCATATTTAAGATCATCATTGGCAAAATCCTCTATATTTCCTAGTGTCTTTAATCATATAGTTTTCTTTAACTTTTTCAGTTTTAATTTCAAAAAGGTTTCTAGACTAATGACAAAAAATCGTGGACATTGAAGAGAAAAGCATGAATTGAAAATCAAACGCAAAAATAAAGTCCTGCGAAATATAAGGACTTGAAAGATTTCAAAGGACACAGTTTGAATTTCAAATTTTATACTTTGTCAGAACCAATTCAAAATTTGGATGCTTTCTTCTTCTTGATAGGCCAATTGAAAAAAAAAAAAAAAAGGGCACAAGATGTACCCATTAAAATGATTTTTGATGTTTTCTTAAATATTTTATTCAATTCAACGTACACATAAACTTACAAACATCTTATGAAATAAAACCTATTTTGTTTTGTCTGATATGACCAATTATTAAGATGACGACGAAGGACAAGGTTTATTAGGATGTTTATTGTGACACTACATATAAATTGATGAAAATTCATAACAAATAATATCATAATAATAATAATAATAAATAAATAATTACTCTCATTTTTTTGTAGTTTAGGATTTTCATGTAAGGGTATTGAAACAATTCTACTAACATAATTTCATATTCTCACTAAATATATTACTTTCATCTGTTGTAAATATAAATATTCTTGTAATTTTTTGTTAAAAACAAATTAGAAATAAAAAAAATAATATTTCATTGAAAATTTACAACATCATCAACTCTGAAATTCTTTCAAAGATTAAAACTATCTTTATTTTGAAAGAATGAAAGTATAAAGTATAGAGTTTTTCACATGATGTTTGTGTGACAGTACACAATATTTCTTTAATAAGGTGACAATTTTATAATCTCACTTAATTAAGAGTTCAACCATTACATATGCGCTTACGTAATTAATTAAAATACTATACGTCTTATTTTCATAATTGATAATGAAAAATTAATTCAATAATCAGAATTACATACGTCCATGCCTTTATTAATTTCCATTGAAAAGAACCCAACATTATAGATTCATGAATTGGCAAATATAAAAAAATTCGTGACAAGTTGAACAGCGAGAATGATTAATTAAGAATTAGGACTCAAAAATGAAAGCACCATGCAATAGAAAGAACCAAGTCACAAACTATACCCAACTTTTGTGATGAATGTAGATACAGGAAATGAACACAAGTCTCATGTAATGTTCAGTTTTCATCAGCATAGTCTATGGCGCAGAATGCTTTGATTCGAGACTTGGATTCAAGGGCCTTTTTGGTTGCATAGAAACGTAGGTATTCATAATGATCAAATGGTTTATAACGTCTTGGATGTTCTTCATCAACAAGCTCTTCTGGTGTTTCAACCAGCTTCCCACCAAGTGAAAATAGTCCCATCGAATATCTTTCCTTCTTTTCACTTATAATCACTCGGTGTTCACAACACTGTATCCTATCGTTACTCCAAACCTAATCAATTAAAAACAGTACCCCCAGTTTATATGAAGTTTTCTTTTGCCATTGGTCATTATTCATCATAACATTTTCAGTCATGGATAGATTTGCTAGATGTGAAAAATGACTCACCTTAAATGCATCGCCTGCCAGGATCAGAAACATGAAGGGAGAGAGATCAATATCAGTCCACTCTCCATTTTTCAATTTTACTTGCAGACCATTTACATTATTCTGATGCAAAATGGTGAAGAAGGATGTGTCCGTGTGAGCATGCAATCCCAAGTTATTTTCATCCTTCTGCGGCAGTCTATATTTGAAGCTCCGAAGCATGTACTTTGTTGATTCCAGAAGAGAATCACAGTTCTTTTGCTCCAATCCATAGCCATCACACACCATTCTTTTAGTCATGTGATCCAATTCTACAACCAGCTTTGCATAGAGACCGAGAGTCTCGCTATTCACAGCATGAAAAATTAGAAACAATGTTCAATAACATGACAAGGAAAGCAGCAACAAGAGCCTTATTTCACTACATGAAAACACTAACATTGATCACACAACATCATATTTGACCCAGATAAAGAAATACGACAAGAAATATAAATAAAAAGTAAAAAATCATAACTAAATGAATCTTAAGCAGTACCAGAAATGATCATATCCTGCTGGCCACATTAGTTTGGTGAAGTTTTGAACTCCTTCCATGGTCAATGGATCATTGATCCCTAGGGATTCATATAGAGGGACATGAACATTTTGTCCATAATAACCATGGTAGGGTTTGTCACTGATCTTTTGCAGTTTTGTTTCCAATGGAAGATCAAATAGTTCTTCCATTAGAATAAAAACTGAGTTGTAAAGCTCCATGGAAACTTTATCATACAAAGCATAGAAACAACCATGATCCTCAAGTGCACCCCGGATCACTTGGCATGCTGAAGCCCACTTTGCTGTACCAGGTTTCAACTCTTCATCGGTGAAGTCAACAGCAGGAACCTTGCAAACTGTTTGGGAACCCATCATCCTAGTAATATGTCTAACCTTAATTTCCCCAAACAACTACAAATACTAGGTTGGCGCTGTTAATCAGATTTATAGAAGTCTCTCTATGCAGTGGACCTCATTCTCTCTAGTTTTAGGCCTCTCGTTTCTGAGTACTTTATAAATCCATCTTACTTTTTTCTGAAGGAAAGTTTTTTTTTTTTTTTTCACATGACATAAAACTTATTTGTAGCAGTTTATATTAGAGGTTTCCTTTGCTATATTGTGACGACCTTTGCACAAAAATTTAATTTTGTTTAAATAACAATATCAAAGTTTGCATAAGTGAAGTAAAAAGAAAGGAGTAAAGAAGTAATATATTACTGTATTACTTTTTCTTAATTAACATTAAACTATTTATCATTTATTTATTTTTATATTACAGCAAAAATAATTTCATTTTAAGAGGGAATTTTTTAAAAGGTCCTACAAAAATTTTTCTTTCTCCCCGTCTATTTATTTTTTAAAGTTAATTATAATTTCTCTCAAAATTTATAACACAAGATGGCTAGAAAGGGTGATCAATAATTCAGAAAATCAAAGCCCATGTTTAATTAAGCATTATAATAGCCTTTTCAACCGAATTGGATAGTATTCAAAATGAATATATTGAAAGAAAAAAAAAATTAGATGAAATGTCAATCTTGAATCTTAGGACGAATGAAAGGGAAGATTATAATGACGCAAGCAAGAAAGTCAAAGAAGCATAACACTACTCTTTCTCTCATGCTTTGCGACATGTAATATAGAAAAACTCAAAACTCGAATATTGTGGACCAGAGAAGAGGTTGAAATAATAGGAATTATAGTTCCCATGGTACAACATGCATCGATTGAAACAAACCACAACGTTGTAGGAAATAGATTTACGATGATCCTGTTAGAAAACAAAGTGCATGGAGTTTTTTATGATGCCATTCATCCAATCACAAGGTAGAAATTAAATATTTACAAACGTAACATAATGCATTTGAGTTAATTAATTTTGTAATTAATTTCACAGAGTTGATTCTGTTTCCTGTCACAGCTAAGCCTATTGGAAAGTCTTCCAGGCCTAGCGAATAGGGCACCGTGTTATGTTAATGGCTCAAGGACCATCATGGGTTGGCAAGAACAATAAAGAAAACCTTAGGTTAGGGATAATAATATAAACCTTTATATATATCAACATTCGTTGGACCACACCTTCTAGAGTGCATATCTAAGAGTATGGGAGAAAAAAAAAGTCGATTACCGTATTCATACTTTTGTGTATCACACTCTTATTTTTAAAAGATATTTTTGTTGGTAATTTTATTTTTTTAAAATATTTTGATAAGTAAAAAAAAAAGGAATGTATATAAATTATTATTAATTTCAATTTTTAAATTATGTGAGACCATGAGCATACTAAAATAATCAAAATCAAAATAATGTATTCTGACTTTTTTTAATATTTTGTATATAATTATGAGATTAATCCTTGAATCATATAGTAATGTAAAATAACAATACTAAAGATATAATATCTTATTAAATTTATATTTTAAGAATAAGTTTTGAGTAAAAAAAATGTTTCTTTTTTAACCACTTAACATATAGTATTGATGTTTTTATGGAAAACAATTTATACAAAATCAATGAATTTGATTAAACATAATAGATTTGTGCTTATATTTAGACGTATATCCATTAATTTTACAAAACTAGCTATAATATAAGATGATCATTTCTAAAATGACTTTTTTTTTATCACACAAGCATATATAAATGGCATAATTTGTTTGAGTAATTTAATTAATATTATTTTTAAATTAACATAAGTTCTTAGTATTTTGTGCTTGTATAATAAATGCGTGTCAAGATTAAATCTGTGAAATCTTAATGAAGTTGTCTCTAGGGAGATAACTGAAGGGAATTTTTTTCATCAATAAATTTGCTTATTTTAAATGGAACTTGTATTTCAATTGGATATATTGTTTATGTATTGAATAATTTTTATTGTATAAAAGTTTTGTTTATTGAAGTTGAAAGGAAATGCTTAAATGTGTGTTTGATTGAAATGTTTGTTTTATTTTGGCGCAACATTAGGGGGAAAGAACATGACTCCATTGTATTGTACAAGTCAAAGCATGCCAAATTCCCAATCAACAAAAGTGATTATGCACGCCATGTGTTTGAGTGAATATCTAAGCCGAATTCTCAGTTTTGTTCGAACAATTTCATGAGATGGAGTTTATTTTGGGCAAGTTGGCAAAAAAATAAAGGCAGAATAATTTTTTTTTTTAATTCATGAATTGAAAACTTTTCTCATTCAAACCAAACCAAGTCTTCTATGAAGCTGATTTAAGTGTCATTACAAGTATCGATAAACATATTAGTACTTAACATAACATGTGTTAATAAGTGGTTTCTTTCACATATTAAATAAATTTTTTTAAATTGGACGATGAATAAATAAGTTTAAGGTTTAAACGTTCACGATTTCACTTTGAATTTAACCTGATTTTATAAAATAATAAATTTATGAGTAATAATAATCAATAAAAAAATTTATCATAATGATACTTATAAAGATAAAATATAATAAAGATTAAAAAATTAAAAAATATTATATTTTTTATAAAAAGTTATATATTTTTTATTTTAATCTTTAATTTTTTTATTAAAATTGGTTTAATTTGTGTCAACTTTTTTATTTTATATCAATTTAATTAAAAATTAATTATTTAAAAGTACTTAATTGATTTTTAAATTAATTCTTGATTAAATTGATTAGTCCAATTCGATTTTCAAAATAATGGATAAAACATGTCGATAAAGTTTTTTTTATATAATAGACCTTCATAAACGTTTACTTAAAATAATGATAAAACTAAGGAATAATGATATATTGAGAATTAAATGTTAAATATACACAAAATTATATTATTTTTCACATCTAATTGTGAATACATTATTTTCTTAACGCAAAACTTGACTTTATTATTTATTATTTTTCACTTATAATCGTAAATTAAGGTAAATATTTCTCACGATGTTAGAATGATCATGATTGGAAATTGGTGAATATCATACTAAGATATTGATTTGTTGAAAAGATTGTCATCTCTGTCTTTTATGAAATTAGATTGCATGAATTATTGCACATTGACTTATAATATATAATTGAGTTATAAATGGCATTTTAAAAATTGGTTTTATATAATTGATTTAAGTATATTTTTATTTTTAATATGATATTAGAATTATTTTAATAAGATTTTTTTATCTATCATTTCTTTTGTATCACTTTTAATATCGAGGAAATGTTTATATCCTACGTTTCATAAACATATTATCAATTTATGATATATAATATAAAGTGTAAATTTTATTTTACAAATCGATCTCGAATAATTAAATTACACATTATATGATTATTTTTTGGAAAAAATATAATTTTAGTTTATTTTCTCTGTCCAGTTTAATTAATTACACAGAGACAAGTTTAGTGATTTTGTAACATCTTGATTGGGCGAGTTTTTCTTTTAGCGGTCAATAGAGAAATATGAGACAAAGGGTGAAAGAAGTAAAAAAAAATATTATTAAAAACATTTTATTTTTTAAAGATAAAGTTACAATGATTTTTTTGTAAATATTTTACTCTATTGAACTAAATTTTGGACTAGCATTGTACATTGTATTTAGAAGGAAAAAAAGTATTTTACTTAACATTATATAGAGATTTGTTTGAACTAAAAAATAAATGTGAAAATGAAAATTACACTTTAAATTTAAAAAAAAAAACTAATTAAAATGTCCTGCTATGTCTAAGGTCTTCTATTATACGTTCCATACAATGAATAACTAATTCTTGAAAGCAAAGAAAAAGCTTGTAAAAATGTCAATTATTCAGAACACATGAAGAGGGAAAACATCAAACGTTGTGTAGAAAGATTTGAGACAGTGGCTAGGACAAATCATGGTACCACAATTAATCTCTGCTAATTATTATGATTATTAAAATGGTGTTGTCTAATACCATTTATCTACTGAGAATAATTGGACTAAAATTGATTTATTTCTAGTGGTCCAGACACAACTTGTACATAAGATACGATACATGATGTCAAAGATCCGACAAGAACATGGTTCCCTTTTTCTACAAGTTAATTAGTTTAGTATATTTACTCAATGGTCCACCACCATTTCATCCTCCACCAATTAATCAATGTTTTACTAAATGTCAAACTTTTATATTTATATACATATAATTGAAACATTCAATGGGTTGGTTACCTTGAGTTTAAGTTGGTCCATTTTGATTGAATAACTCATACATACAAAATTTAATAATTCTTCATCCTTAAGAAGAAGAGAGGGTGACATGGAATCCCAACAAATTTTGTTTAACTTATGTAACAGATTGGTCGATGGTGATGTCCAATTGTCTAATAAACTCCATAGCATAAGCCCAAAAGTGATGGCCGAAACCCAGCTAATTTTGTTTGCTGTGTCAGCTTGATATGCTTGGTTGGATATGGTTCAAATCAGAAAACAACGCAATACCAACATAAATGTTTCAATATTATAACATTATGTTGCGTAAATCACCTCAAATCCACCTTAAATTAAGCATTACCCTCCAATCTTGTGATCAGATTAGAGAATGGGTTCAGGAGACACTCTAAAGCTTCCAGTAATCGACTTTACTGACCTCAAATTGGAAGCCAACAACCCTAATTGGGAGGCAGTAAAATCCCAAGTCCACAAGGCACTAGTAGAGTATGGTTGCTTTGAAGCAATTTTTCATAAAGTTCCTTTAGACCTTATGAAAGCCATATTTGGTGCACTGCAAGAACTCTTTGATCTCCCTCTACAAACAAAGATACTCAATGTGTCTCAGAAGCCCTATCATGGCTATGTTGGGCAATATCCTATGGTCCCACTGTATGAAAGCATGGGCATTGACGATGCCAATGTCTATGAGAAAGTAGAAAGCATGACCAACATCATGTGGCCTAATGGAAACCCGAGTTTTAGGCATGTGAATATCAAATTTCAAACATCAGTTTTTGTAAACTATTCACTTTCTTCTGTATAATTTTGGAACTTGTATTCCATTTAGCTCTTTCTTAATTTGTCTTATTGTAATTTGGCAGCAAAACTATACAATCCTTCTCTGAGCAGTTATCAGAGTTGGATCAGATTATAAGGAAGATGGCTTTGGAGAGCTTAGGTGTTGAGAATTACTTGGAGGAACACATGAACTCAACCAATTATCTTCTCCGAGTTATGAAATACAAAGGCCCTCAAACCAGTGACACCAAACTAGGGCTCAGCACACACACAGACAAGAACATAGTGACCATATTGTGTCAGAACGAAGTGGAGGGTTTAGAGGTGTTGACCAAAGATGGAAAATGGATAAGCTACAAGCCTTCTTCCCCTGACAGTTTCGTTGCCATGATTGGTGACTCTCTCCATGTATACATACATTCTAGTTATAAAAATCAACAAATTTCTGATGTTGAATACTGTTGTTGGATAGACTATTTACTCTAAAAGTTATCAGTATCGTTGAATCATAGTGAAAACTTATTGTTTAGATGAATGTTGCAGGCATGGTCAAATGGGAGGTTTCATTCACCCTTTCACCGAGTGATGATGAGTGGGAATGAGGCAAGATATTCTGCAGGGTTGTTCTCCGTCCCCAAAGGAGGGAAGATTATAAAAGCCCCAGAGGAGCTGGTGGATGAGGAACACCCTCTGCTTTTCAAACCCTACGATCACGTTGAGTTCCTCAAGTATTACTACACTGAACAAGGCCAGAGAGAGCAATTTGCACTGCACACTTACTGTGGTGTTTGACCAGCCATAGCTTGTCTTGTACCGTAACACTGTGCTGTGTTCTTCACTTAATAAAATTTCTGTGTTCCTGTGAATTTCTCCTATTGAAACTTGAAATACAAATATTTTATGGTTCCAATATTTATTTATTTATTTATTTTGTTTTCTTTATCGTTTTCCTTTTACATATTATAGTAGTTATTTTATTAATTCAATAATTTTTTACTGATAGATTTTTTTAATAGGTTTATCTTTAACTATTTATTTTAATCCCTGCACTAATTAATATAACAAAATAATAGATCTACTTAAGTATAAATTATTTTTACTTATTTAAACTTGATTGAAAATATTCTAAAATATAATATAAGACTAATAGCAGAATATATAATACGAAAAAAATTCTAATAATTGAAACTAAAAGAAAGTTGTAATTATAATAATCTATCTACAAATAAAAACAAATGAAGAGTTAAAAAATAATTTTAAAAAATGTTATAAAAATATAATAATAATAATAATAATAATATGATTATACTATAATTATATATAATGGGATTCCCTTTTTTAATATTTTTTTTATGTTATCAGAGAAAAAAATAAAAATATTATATTTAAAAAATCAAAAATATGAAAAAGAAAATATGATATATAATAATATAAAAAATATAAAAAGCAAAGGCTCTACTCTCTCTATTTTTAATAATAATAATAATAATAATTTACTTATTCAAATAGTAAAAGTTATAAAAAAAATTAATTTAATTATGAGTTAATATTTATATCATTATGTTATTAATAAATGAATAATAAAGATAAAAAATAATTTTCTAATGATTATTCTTGAAATGAATATTTTTTTCTTATATATTAAAATGTAATTTTTAACAGTATTATCTCAATAACTACCTATTACTTTCAACTAATTTTTGAACTAGGTTTATCGAATATAATCATATCAATTGAAAGTATCAATTTAAGTAATACAAAACTAATTCAAAAATATTTGATATTTTATTCTAGTACATGAAAATGAAAAGTATATATTTTTAAATTATAGTAAATAAAAATCGTATAGATTAATCGATTTTAACATAATGAATCAAGATTTTGTAAAGCTATGACAAAAATCATTAAGATTAGTCTAAAAGGTTTGAATAATATACATGAAGTCGTAAATTCTAATATATGAAAAAAAAAACTTGTGAGTTAATTGTTAGATTAACAAACTTTATATTTTATATAGAATGATTGTTAATAAGAGAGGTAGAATAATATGTGAGCATAATTATTCAATTGAAAAAACAATGTGTAAGGATACTAACACGTCAAAGTGCAGCTATCTCTTACAAAAGATGCTATGATAGACTGATATATTGTTTCCAACTAAGAGCCAATATCACTAATTAATGTATCACTGAGTATTACAATGCATCAACAAAAGGCGACATGATTTGGTATTTGGAGTTATTCTAAATGCAATTTAATAATAGACCCACATATTGATAAGATTAATCATAACAATATTCTGTATGTAGGGCTCAGATACGAAGTATAAACCAGTCATTGTTAGTTTGAAAAGACATTATTGGTCAAATGAAACATGGCATACCTCTTATAATACTTGTGAAAATCATTATAGATCTTCTGCTCCTATGGTGGGGATCACAAAAGAAAAAGGGTACACAAATCCTCCTCCTTACAATGTGTTTGGATGTTAATTTCTTCGTTCCTAACAATGTCAATTTGGACTTCTCTCACTCTGTGATTTTGAAATTTGAATATTAGTCAGTGCTGAAAAGCTTGACGAAACATCAGAGTGTCTTGTTAAGACAGTCTTCCACAAAACCATGATACCGAACTGGCTCATACAGTTTATAGTTGATGTGATTGAGATTGGTTTTGAAATAATGGCCAACAAACAATCTTAAACACGGTATTTGAAAAATTTGTTTAACAAAGGTTAGTTAGAGAGAAATATAGTCCATTGATGATAGCATTATGCAACTCAACATAGTTTCAAGTCATGTCAGTATTTTGTGATTTCTAAAAGCATTTTGCCCGTGCTTGAAACACAATATAACAGGAGTTTGGCTATGCTCCAAACTAGTCACCAATTATTTGTTTGAATTTTTTGCTGTCCTTTGCTTTGCCACTTCAATCATTTTCATGATGGAGTCCTTTAAACTACCTTAGGATTTGCTAAATCAATCATCTTGCAACCCTAGCACGCCACAAAACTCTTTTTTCTCAAAAATTGAAGCAAAAGTTTCCTTCCTATGCTTCATATATATATATATACATACTTCTGTACAAATTAAACTTAGAATGGTGGTTTTGGTGCCCCAGATTAGAATTAATTTGGAGTATGCAGTGAGTGAAATCTGTCAGTTATATATTATTCAACATGATAAATAGTATTTGGCATCACTTCTTAGAATATTTTTTATATATAATGTGATTTTGAATGAAAACCAAAAGCATACATATGTATCATTCTCCAATAACTATTTTGTATGTTTAGTATTTTTCTGCATTAGCATTATCTGAGTCCATGTGCATAAAAGGACATATATGGACCATCTTCACCTTTAGTTTTTTAATGTGTTGTGTAAAACACAGATGTTCAGACACTCCAAAAATTATCTAACATGGCTTAGAAGTACTCTTATTGTGGACCATTTCTTTCTAATCATTAAGTTTATGCAATAATAATGCTAAATTTTGCAATCAATAACTGTAAACAAGAGTTATAAATATTCTTAAAGTAAAAAAAGGAAATAAAAAATCAACTATATATATGACTGTGATCCACCATGCATAAACCAAAATGGGTGGGGGACTATATTATTGAATATTTGATGGTTGATGAAATTCATAATTGAGTTTTGTCCATTGCTTTTCAGTTTGTAATGGGGTAAGGTTGAAAACTCAGTTTGGATGAGGATAAAAAAATTGTCTCTAAAAAACTTGCTTTAGAACATATACATGGCGACATTGAAGTGTTCCTAAACTCACTAACCCTAAGTACTCAGTATAACAACCACCCTTGTCTCTGCACTTGAAACTTCGTTTTGCCACATACTGACACACACAACATAACACAGAATTATATTATTATCGAACATTTGTACTATAAAAAACACTTCCTTTTGTTTCTTGGTCTCCATATTCTTCTCAAAACATCATAAACCAATTCAACAACAGTTCAGCTTATAATAGAAGGGAAGCAAGTAATGACTCTTTCATATTTTCTTAGTCACTCATTCTGGTTTAATGGTATTTCTTGGTTTGTTACCATGCAAAGTGTCGTAAGTCTTATTCCACTACCTATGAACCATACAAATAATAAACTAGTTATATATTGTTAAAAAGTCAAAAGTTCCCAAATACTATTATTGATACCTAAAAAAATTCATAAACAATAACTGATAAAAAAAAAAAAAAAAAACTTAGAAGAATTGTTGTCGGCCAGTAAGAGATTGAGTTGTTTTCCACCATTATTAATTGACGACTAAATTAGCTTTAACGTGGGCATGCAGGGGTTAAAGGTTCCACAAAGTTTTTCAAAATCAGATGAAGGAGTAGCTCTCATAAAATAGGAAATGATTGATTTAAAGTGCTTGGAAAAAATGAGGTTCAAATCATCAAATGAATTAATTCAATCACCACAAATTACACACATGTAATATTCAAGGTTCATTTCATGTTTTTAACCACTGATTAGTAAAAATAAGTGCAGTTGAATCCTTATATTTATTTTTTAAATCTTATTATATAGTGATACCGAATAACATCAAACTTATCGATGATTAACCTTAGTCAAAGAATATGAATATGGTAAGTTAACTTCAATTAAATTTCGTCTCTATGTTTTGTTTTGTTTTTTTTTTCATCCCAAAATTTTATTTAAAGACATCAAATTTAAATAAATCTTTTACTCACTCTTATGTTACACATGATTATTTTTCTTGGTCTTCTATCTAATACCAAGTGTTTTTCTTGGAATAACTTAAAAACTCATAATTGAGATTTTTTATTATGATTTTGTCTTTAACGATACTTAATTTGAACTAAGAAAAAGTGCATAAATTACTATTAATTTTGACTTTAAAGTAATATGTAACAAAACAAAATAATCTCTCTACAAAACTCCAATATAAGATTTTATTTAGAGTCTAATATCACTATTAGTTAAATCAATGATTTTACTTGTTAGTTACTTGAATATTTGGCTAAATTTTCATCCTACATCAATATTATAATTTTAATCAATTTTAATTCCCTGTACAATCATCGGAAAATTAAAATTTATTAATTTAAAATAACTCTAATGAAGAAATAGGAAATATATGACCTTTGTTTAAAGTATCTAATATATATTATAATTAATTGATTCTAAACTATAAACAAATTAAAAATCATTTTAAATGCATTCTTTATTTAATTATTATTAAATAAACTTATTATTTAATTATTATTAAAGGTTAATAAACTTATTATGTATATAAATATTATTATTAAATAATTATACAAATTATTAACATGCTCTATGTATTATTTATCCTTTAGCTTAAGGTATTTTAAATGCATACAAGTAAAGGTTGTAGTGTGTAGATCAAATAACAAAGTTACTCTAAATATATTTTATTTTATAATTTTTTTTCTTTTTTTCTTTTGTGGCTAGTACAAGATTTGACCAAGAAGGTCAATAAAGTTCAAGACTATGGGCTATGGGCCTAAGGACTATGGCTATGTATGAAGCCCACTTAAAAGTCATTGTTTTGATCCTCCTTTAAATCAAATAAACCGTTAACAGATGAAGAAATCCTAACCACTGAAAGAGCCTTATTGAAATGTTTTGCTTTGGTCCCAAGGTACTCGTTCCATGTCACCGATCGATAAAGAGCGGGCCTACTTGGGCCTACCAATTTTGCATTTGGACTGATTTCCACGTTTGTTGGGGGCCCATATAGATAAGCAACGGAGAACCTCTGCCGGCTCCGGTTCACCTGCACCCGATGGAGAACACTCGGGTACAACCCGTTTGACAAAATGTGGAGCAGATCGCCGACGTTAATCACCAGACCTCCCGGAAGTGGCGGCACCGCCTCCCACCCTTCACCGTCCTTAAGAACCTGAAGCCCACTGACGTTGTTTTGGTGCAGAATTGTGAGGAGTGTGGAGTCCGTGTGGGCCGCCAAACCCATGGCTCGATCCGGATCCGGACAACTCGGGTAAGAATTCAAATGCAAGGCCGCGCAAGCCCCACTGAAATCTCCTGGTGGCCCAGCCCATTTAATGTCTTCCTTTGAAATACCAAGGGAAGCCAACACAAGGCACATCAGCTTCGCTGCTAGTTTCTTCATGGCTGCTTCATATTCCATCACAATCTCACTGCAAATTATTGACAAAAGAGGAAGCTTTAGAAAATAATGAACTTATTCATACCATACATTTCCACCACATGTTTTTTACGTCTGAATGCTATATATTACCCTATTAATAAAATCAGTACTCAGTTAAATCATGAACGGTTATTCAAAATCATCATGGTTCATGATTCTAAACTTTTAATTAGTCTTTAAATGACATATATTATTTTATTCAATAAAACTTAATTACATGTATATGGTATGTGTAAATGAATAAGAAGTATGTTGATGTGGACCACCTAATAATCTTTGAAATTATTAACTATTGGTTTGGGGAAAATGAGAATGGGAAGCAAGTGGATATTATGTGTAGTAGATTCTCATAAAGGTGGGTCCTTGGCTGTCATTATAGTGATCTTTGCTAACTTCATTAGGCTGAGAAAAATGGGGTTCTAACTTTGCTTAGTGGAACCTTCACCAAAAAATCAACAAAAGGGTCTCTTCACTTCCCTTCTTTTCAAACCAGACCTAGAATAAGAACATGTCATGAAGAAAAGCAAAAGGAATTTGAGAAGTGGTATGTGTTAGTTAGGGTTGTTATTTGATTTGATATTTGGTTACGTACCAGTATTTATCATAGTCTTGGGGCCAGAGTTGGAGGAAGAGGTTGAGAGGGGAGTCGAGAATGGTGAAGCATTCAGACCACATGAGTTTGGGGAAGAAGGAGGAGATGCGAGCGCGGCCATAGCCGGAGACGCCGTCAGGGGAGCGAGCAGCTTTGAGCTTCTGGTGAAGAGGGAGAGAGAACAAGGCAAGGCAAGCTCTCTGAATGTCAGTGAAGAGGTTCATGGGGATGCCATGGTTCACCACTTGGAACACACCCCATGTTTTGCATGCATGCCCTATGAGGTTTGGAGCATTAGGGTGGTTCAAATCGATGACAGGGACACCCTTGGTGTCGTCGTTGTGGTCATTGGAAGGGTAACTTGTGAGATGGTAGTAATGAGCAGCATGATCAGCATCTGGTTGTGTCCAAGCATAAGAATCGGGGAGTTGTTCTTGCAGAGTGGTGAAGTCGAGGTGCTTGTGGTGAAGGTACACAGGGTGACCTCGAAAGGCTTCGGAGAGTGAAGGCATAGTAGAATGAATGTGTTGAATGAATGCTACTTGTGTTGTGTTAAAGAAAGAAAGATAGTGTTGTGAAAGAATGAAGTGTGAAGTGGGTATATATAGAGGATGGTGGAGAAGATGGCGACAATGGTAACATAAGATAACAACCAAAACCAACAAAACCAAATGAAAGCCAGACAGACATGGAGAGAAGATTGGGGGAGTAATCTTATTTTCGATTTTGACACTCTTTTTTGCCACCCAGGATATGCCTCTGTATCCCTCTTTTTCTACTTTTTCATCATACGTCATATCTCTCGTATACAGTTACTTCATACATGTTGGTTTCAAACATAAATGGAGTAAATAGAACCTTATATTTTGCAAAAAGATAAAGTTTCACACAAAGTGGCTCTAAACTAGGGTTTTTTATCTTCTTATTAACTATAATTAATTTAGTACAAAAAATGTTCATTAAAACAGTTAGATTATTTTCAATTGCATAATTTAATTAATCATATAAGTTTTTTTAATATATTATGAATAATAATTTTTATTTATAAAAAGTTAAAAATAGAACTATTATTTTTAATTACCATTTGACAAAATATATTAATCTATTATGAATAAAATTATTTTATATTAGTTTTAAATTGTGTAAATAAGAAAAATATTATGAATACTACGTATAGTTTTAATATACTATATATGATTAGTGATTCTTAAAAATATAAATCATATATACGTTATTTTTTGTCAGATAAAATTGATATTTATGATATATTAGAAAATAAATGATTTTACAATCATTACAAACTATAATATTGAAATTAACATATATATTATAAACATCTAAGTAAATATAACTATTTTAATAAAATAAAATACTAAAACAATTATTTGTTAAAAATAAAATACAAATAATTAGTTTTTGCATAGTGTTAGGTATAATAGAAAAATCACATGTAATGGGAAGTATGAAAGTTAGAGGGAGAAGAAAAAGAAGAAAAGAAAAGTCAAAGGAAAGGTTAAACACGTCACATATGGGCTAAAAGATGAAAGAGAAGACAATGATACAAACAATTAGAATTATTCTTTTTATCACTATTATTTCTCACATCTCAAAAAAAAAAATCTATCTCTTTCTTAATGTCTATTTGCATTAATTATGAGTGCACCATTTTCCTTACGCAAAGGAGCTCAACGAAAGACCAGGGTCCCTTCCTCTATACATGTGCCAATGTCTTAAAGAATATCAATTTTTTTTAATTAAATAAAATAAAACTCTTTCATTCTAGAATAATGGTTCTTTATGATTCTTCCCCCATCACTATAGGACAATATATATGCGGACATTGCAGTTGTCACCATCGTCACTACACAATAATCCTTAACACTACAAAAACATTTTATGTAAATTTTTTATACCATTTCATATATTTTTTAACAAGTTTCCACAACTCAAAGGCTTAACACAATTTTTCATTTTCTAGTAGACATTTATCACAAATTCTCTAATCCTCTGTAATAATAACATCAATTGCTCATCTACGTGTTATTTCATTTAATTTAAATGTTTTTTCAATTTAAATAAATAATGTTTGATTCACTGACAGATTTTATTGGGAATAGAGCAAAATCATGAATTTTCTAAAAATTTATAATTTATATTATTATTTATAATTATGCTCTTAAATTTAATAACTATTTACTTAATATATTTACTAATTTAATTTTTTATTTTATTTTAAATATTTTCATATTCATTTATTATATTTATATTTAATTTTTAGTCTTTTAATTTATTATATATATTTATGTTTAAGTATTTTAATGTTCGATATTTTTAAGATTAATTTTAATGTTGAAGTTATGAGTTTATGAGTTTTGTATTACTTAAAAGTTGATGAATTTTGTATTTCTTAAAAATTAAAGTTAATAATAATTAATATAAACTCTTCTCTTTTAATTTAGAAAAATATCTATTAAAAATAAAATTATAATAAATTAAAATGTTAAAATGGACCTTAATAATATTATTAAAAATAAAATCAGGATACTTTTCTACCAAACAATATGTATTTCAAAATTAAAAATAATATTTTAATCGATGAAAAAAAAAGTAAATTAGGCATTTGGTAACCAAAATTAAAAAAAAAATATATGAGCATCACTTTTTAAAAAATAGGAGTGAATGATATTTGTACAGTATGCGATAAGAGTGAGTTTTGTGTTGTTATTATGTGGTTGGAGTTTTGTTTTTGCTGTCCCATGTCCTCTACTTGGCATATTCACATTTTACATCAGCAATGGTTTGATAACAGTACAACAACTTTGTGGGTTGTCTTGTCCCCATTTACAATATCTTCAAACTCGTTCCTTCTTTTCATTCACCAAAACACAACACTAACTACCATTGCTCTTCCTTTTAAACTTTTATTAGGTACTAGCTTCCTCTATACTTTGTTGCTATTGTGCTTATTCATATATATCAATATATGTATATATATAACTATACCAATGAATTTAAATAAATATAAAACAAGATGTTATTTTTTTTTATAAAAACAATTGGAAAAGGAAATTTCAACAAAATTAGTTGATTAGTCTAATCAATAAATTTTTTGCACACACTATCGATAATATTGGTTATTTGAATTTGTTTAAATGAATGACATTATCTAAAAATTACAACGCATTACTTTATGTTTCCATGCATTACTAACTTGTTACTAAAAATGGACAACATTGATGGCACTCTTGTAATTTGCATTGTTGATACATAACATGACCATAATTTATGGGACATGGAGTCGTGTGTTCACAACATCACACATGATATTTGTATAAGATTGTTCAAGGAGTGTCTCAGACTCTGTAAGAAACAACAAACTCATTTTTAGGGTTTTACATAAGAATGACGGTTCCTTCTTTTTTTTTTTCTTTTTCTTTTTTTTAATGATAGTGAAGATACTTAAAATGATGGTATATTTAGGTTTGATTAATCGAATGGTGCGCGTGCATATGAATTAAGAAGATGATTGGTTGGCATCAACTTTATTTATTAGGGCAGGGTGAACAAAAGAAAGTCGGCATGGGCAGGGTATAATTGAACACCAGAAATTTGCATTCTACGTGGCGACAAAGCATGGTGCTTTTTTCTTTTACCTTCTTTGGTAATCCAGTTGAAATAAAAATTTCCCTTTTCAAGTTAAGTTACTAATGGCATAAAATCATGCATATAATCATATTATAATATATAAGATTAAAGTAGATATATACCAATATTTAATATAAAATCAAAATCAATTCTAATTATAATCAAATTATTAAAAAATCTCTTTTACTTTTTTTTTAGATCTGAAGAAGTGAAAAGATAAGAGAAAGAATAAAAATCCAGGTTATTTAAATTAAAAGAAATGAGAGTGAAAAATTAAATTAATTTATTTATTATTAACAATTTTTTATTATTTTATTATAATTTTTTAATTATTTATTATTATAGTGAGAAAAATATTAATATTATTAGTTTTTTTAACCTAATCAATTATAGACGACAAAAACATAATTTATTATGTAAAAAAATTATATATAATCAATTATACATAAATACATTATTGATTGTATAAAAAATCACTTTCCATTTTTTTTTAACGAAATATTTTGTCTCGATTTTGTAACCTTTTTATATTGGAATATGTAAAATTAACGTATTTTTCGCATTTTGTGCTTCCGTCGTTAAAAATAAACACAATGTAAAATATATTGTTTTTGATGGGAGTGAAAGTGTCGTATTTCCTTATCTATTATAATAGTATTATAGGGATTAATTATCACATTCAAACTATTACTCATTTTAAAAATTTAGTCGCTCATAATTTTATTTGTAAAAAATGCATGGGTAGGTGTTTCTGGTGGAATTTCGATCGATTTCGATTCTAAACAGTGTTATGGTCCTAATCGAAATCCTCCCACGTAAGTTCTTTTCACTTAGGCTAGCAGTCTGACTTTCAATCGAAAACGTGTATGAGAATCGAAAGTTACATCCTACCAAGAATGCTATTTTTTAGTATTTTATATTTAGACTATCGAAAGCAGTAAAAGTATCGAATCAAGAAACAGAATATTAAATTGCAAGAAAATGTAAAGTGCGAAAACCCCAAATTTGCATTAATTGTAAATGGCAGGAAATCGAAATGTGCAGGGAATGTAAATGGCAATAAATCGAGATTTGCAGAATGTGAAACGACAGGGAAGCTTAAATGCAGAAACTTAAACTTTCATTGAATTGAAATGACAAGGAATCGAAAATACAAAAATATAAAACTGCTGAATTTAAATGGCATCAAAGTAAATTACCAAGGAAAATACAGAAAGCGGTAAATGTACTCAGTGAGCAAGGAAACCCAGATTGCCAGAAACTTCATGGTGTTCGTCGTTTTTCCGGTAGATTTTTCACTACTGATTCTGTTCTCTGCCAATTTCTGCTCCCCCCTCCTTCATCTTTTCTCTATTTATAGGGCGTCGTTCAAGCCTGCAGTTAACCAGACTACTACCACGTTCTTTCGTGCATGACAGTTTCTTTTCTACAGTTTCCCACGTTCTCATGATCCTCGACTCCTTCCATGATTCCAGAACTGCTTTTTATACGTGCGTTTGACTTATTCTTCTCTTTATGGTTTCGATGTCCATGTTCCCTTCGCATTCGATGATATCGAACACTTTGCATTACTTTGGGTTTAACCTTAACATCATATGATTCTAGTTTCTTAGTTTTTTATTCGGCAATAAGCATTTGGTTATCATTCACTCAATTTTCGATTGTGCCTCTCGATGTTATGTGTTGTGTACTTCTAATCGGACATCGAATGATTTCTTTTGTCTATCTTATCGATTTATCAATCAATCATATTTCTCTTTTCTATTCTCGATCTTTCTTCTCGATTTGCCACTAACAGTAGGTTAAGAAAAAATATATATATAAAATATTTTTAACTAAAGTGGGGATTCATGAATATATAGTCAAGGATTAAAAGATAGAATTTAAATGAGATTTTGCTCGAATTCCATGATGATTATCAATATTTTATCTATAAATGAAAATACTTTAATCTTATGTACACTAAATAATAATATTAAGATTCAATCACTATATTGAAATTATTCTCAGTTTTAGAAATCTATTAAATTTTGTCCTTAAAATAATAAGCTAAGAGCTATAAATTATCTAAAACATGAATTTTTAAATAATATAAAATTCATGAACATACTACAAAAATATAATAAAAAAATAAAATTGAAATATTTTTATTTTCAAATGAAACACTGAGAGTGTTTGATAATAGAGTTTCAATCATCTCTTATCTATTATAAAAAATTAAATCAAAATATTTATATAATTATCATAAAAAAGTGTTTAAAATATTAAATATATTTAGTCAAAGAAAGCATGATGAGGGGAATGAGGATTATATATGGAAGTCATACCTTAGACATGGGTGGCAATTCCGTTTGCACTGTACAAAGAAAGTGCAATAAATTAAGCTTTGAGTTGGTTCTGTCTGATTTAGGGAACCCCCACCCCACTTTCTTTATCTTCTCTTTGTTTGCAATTCCAAAGCTAATCATTTTCATCAACAAAATTCATTCCATCACAACTTTTTTCTTCTCTTATTCATATCTAAATAAATGTTACTATTCAACATGGTGTAATCAATGTCCCATTATTTACAACATACAAATAAAAGTCAATTCATAATCAATAATGATTGGATTTTAAAATCACATAACAGCCTCAATCTGAAGTCAACATTTTTTTCAGTGGAAAAAAAGGCCGAGTCCAGGAATTAATTAGCATCAGATAAAGTCTGAGAAAAGTGGTTGGAGGTGAGTGACACTTAGAATGCATGAATGGAAAATAATGAGTGGCAAGAGATTGTAAAGTGAAGAAGATTTGGTGATTTGCAGAGGCAAGAAAGTGGAACAGAACCAAGCCATGGCGTCGGCCTCCTATTTTAAAGGAAGAAACGGATCTGTGGGTGGTTTGTGCGCTAATGCTTCCAAGATAACCCACTTTCTTTAACTCACACACTTCATTTAAATTTTCATGACATGCAACTTCACAAAATTTTCAAACCAAACCATTTACATTTGATGTTTTGAAAATTTAACAACAGACGAACAAAAGACAAGAAGTGTTGGATTTTAAAATTACCATGTGTGGTGTATAGTTTGCTGCACTTTTTAATTTTGTGTTGTTGTTCTTCATTCATTCAGATATGTTTGTTGAACCAATGACAACATGTTGTGTATTTCAATGGAAATCTAAGAAAGGCAACAGATGATTGATGAGAGTGGAAACATTTACAAACATGACTCAGCTGGTCATTACTTAGTGCTTTGGTGCCCATTTTCTTACCCTCATCTGATATTCTACGTCATTCACACTAATTCAAATACAATCACTCGTCACATCCATAAGCGAATCTTATTAGGAGCGGAAAGATGGTAACTCTTATCTTTTCACCATTTCATCTTATTTCTTCTTTTTATATTTATTTATTATTTATTAATAATATATTATTTAGTCCTCGAAAATTAATGATCAAGATTCGCCATCTGTTCACAACTATCACATTTGTGTTCAAAAAAAATAAAACAAATACTCCAACCCATTTATAATAATAATCTTATCATTTTTAATTGAGTGGAAAATTTTAAATTTATCATACATAATAATATATAACAAAATTTTAAAAACTTTAGCACTATTACTAAGTTCTAATTAATTAACTAATTAATGAGCTTTACAAATGAAAGAGAGATCAATAAAAATGGGACTCTGTTATTTAGAAAAGTCTTGTGTTGATTTATTTATGCACTCTCATGTTTCCTTCTAAATCCATATTTCAAATATTAATGTTAATATCAACATAGTTACCCTACGAAGCTTCTTCATGAAACGCAGCGTTTCACCTGATCCTGTCATGTACACAACATAAATAATTATATGCAACTCATAATCCACCATTTTTTTTTATAAGTTTTGGATAATTATTTTTATAAATATAAAATATTTTTGTTTAGACGAAAATAAAAGGAAAAATAAGTATTTCATAGAAATTGTTTATAATTAAAAAAAACAAACTCTTTTAACAAAATCAGTAACTGAGTGAAAAACTTATTAACTAATTCATAGAAATTTTATTTATAAGTGAAAAACATACACATTTTTTTTATTAATGCATGAATATATTTTTAAGCCCCTTAATTTGATATAATTATTTTGTTTCAGTCCTTTAAAAAAAACTGTTAAAATTCATTCTCATAAAAAATACAATTTTTTATTTTTACTCACACAACCAATTTTATTTCTTAGAGAAAACAACCATATAACTCCTTTTCTCACCAATATTAAAAATTTACTAGAATTTATTATTAAGGTTCCAACATAAAATCAATTGGTACTTTTGACCCAACTAAAGGACAACTTTTAGCCATGACAATAACCAGAAAGATGTTTTACTTTGGCTCTGATACCATGTTAAAGTTCCAACATAAAACAAATTGACAATATGTAGATTAGCCTAACATGTATTTAAACTATACAAAATAACATGAGGTACGCGATGTGGACTTTCAACATTTATAATAAGAAAACAATTAACATCTATATTAAAAAAAAATCAATAATTAATGAGGTTTTATAATAATAATAAAATATAAGTTGTAAAAATTACCAGAAGAGCCACTCCCGAATATTGGAGGAGGTGGTGGAATTGGAATTGGTGTTAAGTTGAACCATAAATTAAGACCATAACAATTTCCTTTCAAAGTACCTGCATTACCCCTAAAGCTCAACATAATTAACCACTATACAATTATATATCAAATATCACCTAAACACTATATAATGTATAAATGAGTCATATTTTTATTAGAAGAAAAGGGTAAAAAAATATAATTGGGGTGAAGAAAAGGGTAAAAAATATAATATTTACAAAAGGTAAGAAAATAAAAAAATACAATATTTTTTATTAGAAGAAAAGATTAAAAAAAATTGGGGTGAGAGAGGCTCGAACTCTCGACCTCAGGATTACTCAGAAGCTATGAGACCTACGCGCTAGCCAACTGCGCCACCACCCCTTTTTGATTTTAAACAAATATTTTTTTTACTTAATAAAATAATTTTGCATCAAACCAATTTTTTTTTGAATATACTTTTTTTATTACCCATTTATAAATTTAGTTTATAAAAAAGTTAATAATTAACCATTTTGACGAAATTAACTGAGGAAATAATATCTATGAATATACAAAATTTAAATTATCTGATAAAAAATTACAATAGTAGAATTATTTTTGTTGAGCTAATATTTATATAATGTAATATGATTTTTACATGTATTTTAATGGGACATATTATTGATAATATGTCGGTTACATTTATATATTAATTCCATTAACCAATATTCTTGTGATAGACAATTGGAAAATATCCAATAAAACTTTATTTAAAAAATAATAAAATTAAATTGATAAAAAAAATAAATGAAGATAAAAATAAATACATAAAACATTTATCTTATAAATAAGTGAAAAAGGCAATGGATTGAAGGATGAAGAAAAAAGAGGTTAAGAAAAAAGCAGTTTACATTTTCTAATGCAAAGGAGCCGTGGATCATTAAGCAGATTGGCTGAGTCTTCATTGCATTCACACCTAAAACTAAAGCCATCTCTCACACAAGTTCCATCCCCACAAAAATTCCACAAACAAGCTGCATATAAAATACCAAATCAAAGGTTAAGTCTTATGTCACATTTTGTTCTACAAAACTATAATGAATCATGAGCTTACGTACGATCAGACACTTTTGTAGGTAGAGATGTAGGGAATGGTAGAGAACCATTGCCACAACGTAAATCAACAGTACCTGCACTTTTCATCTCAGCATATATATACCCGTTTGTTTGAATCATGAATGGAAACTAATTTTGTATTTCCTTGCTTATAGTATATAACAAAGTCACTTCTTTTTTCTAATTGGTTTTCATGCATAAATAGTTAAGATGATGGGTGACTCACAATTGGGAAGAGAACATGGTGGTAATTGGAGAGGACCAAGGTTAGGCTTCTTCCAACCAGATTCACAATCGCATGTGAAACCGAGTGAATCAGTGGAAGAAGGGTGGCATGTTCCTCTCCCACAATATACAATATCACATACATTAGAAACATCTGCACAAACACCACCATCACATGAACAAAATATTGATGATCAAACGTAATCCAATTCATAGTAACTGTGGAAGACCAGAGAAGGGATTAAGTATACCTTGTGTTGGGTTGGACATTAACTGTGTGGAAGTAGCAGAGACTTCGCATTTGAAGAAGAGGGGATAAAAAAAAACAAGGACCAAACTTGCCCATATGAATGTTCCCACTGGGAAGAAAAGAGAGAAAATAGTATTAGTCTTGTGAAATATTTGTGTCATGAGCTTGTTGAATTGAATCCTAGGTGTAATTAGCTTCCCTGTTGCTCTATATATAGAGCCTAACAAGGAGTACAAATTTGACGTTCAAAAACGGTAAGTTCTACCATTGTGTGCATAACATGATAAAAAAAACAATGACTTCAAATTTACTTTCCTGTTACTTTTCTTTTCTTCTTCATGAGTTTCTATTATTTGTCTAAAGGATACTTAACTTACCCACCAATGGCCAAGCTATTTAATAACCATAGATAGATCATTTAACGATCTTGATTGGTGAAAGTTTTTATAATTACAAATAGAGTTCACACAAATTGTATATTTAAAACAACTTCGGTAAACACAATTAAAACCATAGAAATGTTAATTTTATAGATATGGGTATTTTATTCATATCTTCCTAAATAATGGTGAAATATGCATGTATATATATATATATATATATATATATATATATATATATATATATATATAATTTATTAAAAAAAATCTTTAATGATATTCCTATTTAAATTAAATAAAAGGTTAAAAATTATTTGTAGTTTTTGATATAAACGTGTTAGTTATCTTAAATCTTTACTATCATATTTATCTAAAAATAAGGAAGCATATTAAAAATTTCTATCACAAAAAAAAAACACTATTAACTCTGCAAATCAATTTAAGGGCGAAACAAAAAGATACTATGCAAAATAATTTTTTTCTTGCATGCCTAAGTTGAGAGACAGGATTTGCAAGTTCTACTATTTACAGTACGTCATGGTCTTCGTTATTGGTACAATAAATCTATTAACAATTCAGTTAATTTTTTTAATACACTTTGTAATTTTAACTTGTTTCTGGGTGGATCCTCTAATAATAAAGGTCAAAATCAAGTTTCTCATTGGTGGGGAAGTGTTACACACATAAAAATTTCACCCTTTGTCTCTAATATATCAAAAGTACGCGCCTTTCGGCTTTATGCCATGAACATAGAACTATCATAATTTTTATCAGTGAACAAGGCAATCATATTCCCCTGTCCCTTCGATTTTCTCACTGAAGAGAAAAGAAGAACTTCTTGAGATTGCCGTTACATGCCGACAATTAAGTAACTTTAATGTCTCGTCATAAAGAAAAGACCAATCATGATTCAAGGCATCTAATAAAATTCATGACTTGTATTTGAGACGTAACACCTTAATCTGAAGAAAATTTTATCATAAATTCTGACGGAATGTTCGATACAATTATCACAACACGAAAGGGTAAAAACACTATTTGCATGCAAGTCATTAGATGCAAATCTGATGTACATTCTGATACAATTTTCACAGGACAAACTTACGGCAAAATACAACCTGCTTTAGTTTGAATATAGCTCCAAATTTACAACAAGTATTCAATGTTTTCTTGGCCTAGGAGACTGTTTATATAACAACAGGAGAAGTTGCATGCATGTCCACTGGATTGGCTACACAGATAGCTAAGTTAGAAGTTAAATATATAGGTTTAGCATAAAAGCATAAGAACTGCTTTGAAATCATGTCAGACTAAATTACATTTAATATTCAATGATCACTGATACAAATTAACAATTGAAGATCCCTTCAACACCATAAAACTACAATGAATCTCGTCAGCAAACGAATCAAATATCAACAAACAACAGATACAAACCACCCACCCCCAAAGGAAAAAAGAAATAGAGTAGTAGCACAAAACAAAAAACAACACTACCGTGGTCTTTATGCTGATCCAAACTCGGTAAACCACTTCTCATGGCGTTCAATGTCAGCCTGAGAAACACTTCGTTGGACCTTTACCAAAGCTTCTTCAAAATCACACATGGCAACAGGATCCTTTGAAATCTCATCCTTGGACATGTTTTTGATTTCGTCACGAGTCTTTCCTGCTATCTTACGCCTCATACCATTCAAGGAAGCGTCACGACAGACATTAGTCAAATCATCTCCACTATAGCCCTCTGTCCGACGAGCCACTTCATCTATATTGACATCAGCCGCCACCTGGTGAAAGACGAGTACCATCAGCAATAATAATAATAATAATAATAATAATATAAGTGTTAGCATCATGATTCTGCTGCCCTTTCCATAAACTGTTCTTAGAGTATGATTAGTAACTCCAACAAAAAAAGATATTCACATCACAACACAATTTTATTTTCTTTGACAAATGCTCAAATTCATTGTTTCTGTTGGTAATATAAATCCTTGACTCAATGAATAAAGCTCAAGTCAATATAATTAATTGATTCACAGTATAACTCAATTACAGCTTCACACAAAAAAAAGTTATAAGGGTTAAAATCCTATATGGCCAACACAGTAATTAACATCACAACTTGCCTCAACAGTCTTCAAATTTATCCGGATCAGCTCTTTACGACTCTCAAAATTTGGAAGAGGAATATATATACGTTTTTCCAGCCTTCTCCTGTGTTGCATTAAACATCAAATTGAATCAGAAAGTGTAAAGACAAGAGATCTATCAATAACACAGATAACTAATAGTACATTTTTATCAATTGCAACTGAAATTGTGAAGAAAATAATGCTGAAAAACAAATACAGACCTTAGTGCCTCATCTATATCCCATGGGAAGTTAGTAGCGGCCAAAACCATTACTATTTTACGGCTACCATCTTCATTTGTGGCACTATTGCTTACACCATCAACCTGAACTAGAAGTTCAGATTTCACCCTTCTAGACGATTCATGCTCTCCAGATGCCCTGATGAAGTAACAGTGTATTCCATCAGATCTCAACATAACTTCAATAAACATACAAACGAGAGTGAAGCCAATGCAGCCTATGAATGTATTCAAGCAATATAAACATTGAACGAAATATTATTAAGGAAACATATATAAGTTTCAAAGACTATCACATAAAATGGATGTCTTAAAGAACAAGAGAGGCTCACCCCCTAGCATTGCACAGAGAATCAATTTCATCAATGAATATTGTGCTTGGTGCATATGCTCTTGCAAGATCAAACAAACACCGCACCATGCGCTCACTCTCACCACGCCATTTAGAAGCTAAAGTTGCAGAAGATACATTGAAGAAAGTGGTCCCACATTCAGTAGCAACTGCTTTAGCAAGAAGTGTCTTCCCAGTTCCTGGAGGTCCAAACATAAGAACACCTTTCCATGGTCTCCTGATTCCCTGAAAGCACAGAAATGATGAGCTCCAAACTTCATTATTCACCAAGATATTTAATTCACAGAGATTCAAATAAAAGAATAGGCTGATCAAACAAACAAATTTCTAATTAAAACTTCAAAAAAGCGTATAAATGTAACAGGAGAAGCATGAACTTATTTTGCAACAATAATTTCATAAACAAGGGATAGTTGGAAATCAAATTGCATGCAAAAGTAGGTTGTCATTGTGGAAACAAGGGTCTAAAATAACTACCGTGATAACAATTAGATATCCTATACAAATCATAATTCCAAATTATTAGTTATAAAATAAACCATGACTATTAAATATGATTGCACATTAATTAAGCTAGTTTTTAACAGAATTTAGAGAGAAATTTATCGACATTACCTGGAAATATTCAGGCATCCACAAGGGAAGCACAACAGCTTCTTCTAGAAGCCTTTTTGCTTCAGTAAGCCCTGCAACATCATCCCATCTAACTCCAGGAGAGGTTTCTAACACGTCCCTTTCAAGCATTGCAGCCAATTCAGGATCAGGACCTTCATATTGACCCTTCTTTGACTTACCATCTTCAGCATCACCATTCTGTCCATTCTATTAGCAATTGTAATGACACAACAACATATATAAGAAGTCAGACATTTTTCAAACTATCTAGAGTAAGGGATGCAGTACGCAAAACATTGATAATCTGATGAACTACACAACATGAAGAAGAAGAAGAAGAAGAAACACGAACATGGATCTAATACAAAATTAACACCTGAATGCAACGGGCTAAGGATGCCCTCAACTTGAGTCTAAGATGAGTCAAACACAATTTTCTCATTGACTATGACGTTTGGCATTGTGTTGAAAACATGATTCCAATTTTCTAATATCTGCTATCCAAACCAAAAATCACTTTACTATAAACTCACATTTACTTAGAATCAATTCTATAAAATCACGTTGAGTCAAAATCAATTCTACAAACACATATCCAAACACACACAAAGTGTGTATGTCGATTCATGTTAGTGATTCAGAATCACACTGAAATAACAACTAACGTGATTTTAGTAAGTGAGGACATGTTTTGTTCCACTAATTCTGGGGTCATAATTGAACTTGAGTTAAACATTTAAAGTAACTTTAGGTAACCTTTGTATTGGATGCAAACTAACTAGCTTTTAGAATACAAACATCCAAACATAAACAATTAATATGTTTGTATAACAACCAGAATCGATTCTTGCCCCTAAAATCATAGTGAAATATTGAAGAGGAAGCAACTATATGTTGTTTTGGCTTTCAACGAGGAATTGAAATCCATCATAGAAAAATTAAATCTAATCCAAACACAAGGTATCTCACTCCAAAATCAAATTTAACCAAAATTCATTTCATAAATCAAGTTCATTCAAAATCAAACTTGCAACCACTCATTCAAGCACACCCTATCAATGTCAAGAACAAACAATTCAATAATTAAGGTGTAATAAGATTAAATAAGTAACTTAACAAAATTTGGTTGAGTCCACCAACCAAATTAATAAACTATCCTTAGAAACAACTTCTCCAACCAACCAAAAACGTACAGTGAATGTTATCCAACAAATTGCCTCATCAAAGTGGAAACTTACAGTTACAGCTGCCGTATCCGTCTTGCTAGACTTTCCAGAAACATTGCCTTTCTTTCCAGCAGTGGATGCTCGTGTCCCCGAGTTAACCCTACTAGTAGCACCACCTTTAGCACCACCACGCCCAGTGGTACCACTTCTAGTAGTAGAACCTCGTGCCCAGGCCCCATCTTGGGGAGATTTCCGGGTACCCACTTGACCGGACCTGGCGGGTCTCCTACTGGTATCCCTACTGGGCGGCCGCCATACATCAGGATCATCAATAGGACCAGGACCGCTTGATGAAGTGGGGTACTCATCCAACGGCTGAAAAACAAAAGACGAGGACTTGGCAGAAATGGGAGGCGAAGCAGCGCGTCTTCCAATGGGGTTATCTTTGAAAGCCCTTCTCTCTGAATCTAACTGCTTCACAACTTCGGTTTCTTCCGAAAGCGCCTTCTTCACATTCATCCATTTCGCGCGAATTAAAGGGTCCTCGACGGTGCTTAGGTGTCTGAAAGAATTGAAGAAACGAAGGAATCAGTGAAAGTGACTGAATTACACGAAATTGAGAAAAGCGAGAGAGGGGAAGAGTGTACTTGTTGATCTGGGCAAGGGCACCGTCGAAGAAGATAATGGAGGTATCGTAGAGCCCTTCTAGAGCGTAGTCTCGGGCTAACTTGAGGTGTTCTTGCAACCCTACTATGGAACCTCCAACCATTCTCTTCTTCTTCTTCTTCTTCTGATTCTGATCCTGCTTCTGCTTCTGTTCCCAACAGTGACACTTCTTCCTTCAAACCACGATTGAAACCAAACGAAATGGTTTCCTTAGATGGGCTTTACGGTTTTGAATTTGAGTCCAACGAGATGGGGCCACCAGCCCACAACCACTTTTCTTTCCCCAAATTATGATGAAGTGGCCCGGTTTCTCCTAACTACTCGTTTTTGCTTTTGCTTTTTGTTTTCAACCTCTGTCTTCCCTTTTCTAAACCCTGGTAAATTAGGTTTTCTGTAAATGATTTTCATATTGCACGTGAAATTTATATTTTTTTTAATGTTTAAGGATATTTTTCAAATGAAAAAACAAGTATCACTCATGATACAAATGGTGCCTTTTTAATGAAAAAAGAAGAAGTAATATTTCATTTCATTGAATGTACATGTTCATCGATTCTTCCTCTTCTTTTTTTTCTCCCACGTAAGGAAGAAGAAATGTCAACGTAATTGTGTTTACCTTTTGATTTGAAAACCTAATCTTTTTATCATCCTTTGATTCGTTTCGTGTTCTTTTTCATTTGAATTCTATGAGTGGACCTTGGGGTAATCATGTTAAGTTCCGTTGTAGATGTTTTCAACAGTTGAGAACTGCATGTGCATGAAAATAATTACTTCAACGAAGAACAGTGGCGTGTTTGGTAAAGAAAGTTCATCTTTTAAATCTCAAAAATGATATTTTGAACATTTGTTCAACAAGTGCCTGATTATTTTATCTATAAAAAAAATCACATTTTTATGTCAACAAACAAGTAATTGTTTCCAACATTTGATCACATTAATTATAATTTTTTTTGTAAGATTTTCAAACAAGGTAATTTTCTTCATCTGTGTTTGTGTCACACAGTCCACAGTCCACAACTTGGGACAAATTCTGACAAAAGAGAAACAACCTAGGACAGAAGATAAAATTATTTTGGAATTTTTTTTCATCTAAAAAATATAAAGAACAAGAGCAATGTTTTTATTTTCATGTTATTTTCAATATTTAATTGTATTTTATAATGCAAAAATATACTACTAAAAAAAAAGGCCAGCTTATTCACAAACTAAATTCATTAAACTTGCATTTTTAAGTTGACTAGATTTGTAAAGTCCATATCAAGTCACATGTTTTAATTAAAGTCTGTGATCTGTGCGAATAGCAAGATAAACATCACGTTGCATATAAATTTTGATGGATAAAATTCATAAAATAAAATAAACTAAAATGTTATTGGTTACCAACCTTAAAATATTGTGTAAAAAACACGAAAAATATTTTTTTTTTAAATCCAACAAAACATTATGTGAAAAAATTACTATTCATCTAAAATTTAAAAGTGAAAAAATTGTTTTATAACGAGTTGTTGATAGTAAAATAAGACTATAAAATAATTCAAACGATGACTTGTATGATCTAAACATGGAGTATTGTTTGAATAAAGTGAAGTTGGGCCACATGCATAAATGTCATTAATAAGGTGGAGTAATGCTGATACCAATAACATTAAAAAAAAAAAAAGTTTCAATGAGAGAGGTTGAATGTTGTATTTTTCTTAAATAATTTAATTGAATTTTTCAATTTTCTCTACTTAAATAAAAAATTTAATGAAATAATTGTTAAAAGAACAACTTGTTTAGTTACATACTTCCAATTGTAGTGTGGGGTTGGTTTCTAATGACCTAATCTTGAATGTGAACAGTCCCAATCTAGGGTTCCTCACACTGACTTAGAAAGGAGCAGGTCACCCATTTATTTGAATTAAATTCCCTGAGAAAGGGTTTGTGTTTGAAATAACTTCACTGGAGAAAAATAAATTTTTAGTTGAAAATGAAATGATAAAAAATATATTATGATTTTATAGAATTTCATTAATAGAACAAACTGTTTGACTTGAAGTATAATTTAATCCTATATAACACCTGATTTGATTTAAGGGGAAGAAAAAAAGTTGTAAATGAATCAATGATAGACACAGAATTGACAAGGAAAAAAAGACCTAAGCAAAAGTAAAAAAAGTACTCGTTAAAAGTCAGAAAAATTGATTGTAAAATATAATAACAAGGTTTTGTTTGTCATGTTCAAAAATTAAACAGCAAATTATTTAAACAAAATATTATATAATTTTTTTATAAGTACCATGACACTGTAGTGACGATTAAATAAAACTTGAAATTTTAAATATATTTTTTATTAGAGATTCCTTAAGAGAATAGATTGTTTGGCAATATTTTATTAATGAAAAAAAAAATAAATATATATATATATATATATATATATATATATATATATATAATGATGAAATAAAGCCAAAAATTGAATTATTTGAATTGAGTATTAGTAAATAAGACGAATGATGATGATTCCTTCACTTATTCCTTTCCTTTTTTGTCCTGTATGTTGTATTTACTTCTTCTTTTTCTCTCTAGTACAAAAAAAAATCCAAAATTGGTTGTAATTTCAATTATTATTAAGAAGTTTCACTCTCAACCATACATTTCACAAATCCAGGCAAATGCAATTTCAATTATGTTTGTTTTTTCTCCCTTCACTCAAGCAACAACAATCAATGTTCCTGTGATTCATTTGTTTCCGTTCTTTATTATGGCTTTTCCTTTCCACAATTTTCTTCTTTCAATGATCCGGTTAGAGTACTTGGGTATTTCGGGAATGAAAAACATGGACATTCAAATTTTTTTATAGTTTTTTTTCCTTGTAAGTTAATTAATTTTATTCGGTGTGGGATTTTAACTTTAGTTTACGAGAATCTTAGTTGCATTTTAATAATCTTTTTCAGTTTTTCGGATAGGAACCAAAATTATTGAGTATAAAAACTTAGTTATATTATGTATTCTTATTATTGGATTATTCTTTTGGGAACTTGGGAATTAATAAACGGAAGTTTCTGACTTTAATCAGAACAAAAAAAAATTTGAAACGCGGTTGAGTTAGGTTATTGGTTCTGGCCATGTTGGTGCCTGGTAAAGGACCAATAGTTTTCACTTATGACAAGTCAACGAAACAAATTTAAACCTCAGCAAAGGGGATCTTGAATGTGGTCCACTCTATCATGTGATGCATTGTGAAAACTTATCCAACACAACACATTTTTACCAAATAATTAACACTATAACCATTTATTGATTGGAGTTGATCCATGTTCACTTAACCACACATGCATTTTTATCAAAGTTTATTTTTATTTGTGATGCAAGCATATGTAGTAATGTAAGTGTTGAGAGGAAATAAAGAATTCATTGAAATGGATGAGTTAGGAGTTGGGACTTATGGAGAAAGGGTGGTTTTAGTTGATGTGGGACATAGAGGAGGAGCCACATGCCACAGAAATGTCCCAAAGCTGCTAAGTCACATGCTTATCATATTAAATTCTCCTTCTTTTCTTTAATTTTATTTCAAAAAAATTCAAAACATTCCAAAGTTTTTAATTACCTTGTCTAGCTGTTACTCTCTTAACATGCTTCCATCTGCTCCTCCCACTCTGTTCCCTTTCTTTTCTTGTCAGAATCTCACCCCTGTTTATCACCACAGTAAATTTTCAATTTCCAATTCTCACAATTCCTACTTGCCCCACACCGAGAACATCTTAAAATATTAATATAGAACTGATAAAAAATAATTTATCAAAATTAATTGTTGGATATGTTAACCTTCCATCGTAGAAACAATTCAGTAAAGCACAGACACAAAAAGTAAGTTAGAATTTGAAAATTAAGATTCTAATATATAGAGTAGTATAACATACAAACCATATGGGACTTTCGACAAGATATTACTCTACTTTTAAAAAATTAATAATAAAAAAAATAATTTTAATATGCTCAAACAGATATTTAAATTAAATAAGAGATAAACTGTGTGACTTTCAATAATTTTTTTCAATTGAAAGTTTTTTTTTCAATTTTCTTATTATATTAAATAAGATTTTCTTTATACAAGGAAGATCTTATTATATATATAATTTAACAAAACAAATTTAACTATCACCTATACAACATGAAAATATGTTAATCGATAATTATAATCAACTTTTGTAACTTAAACTGTTTAAACATGTTCTTAATAATATAAATATTGCTACTTTAGAAATTTGGTAAATTTGACTAATTTCAACATTATATATAGAAATATTTTATATTTCAGAATTGAATGTAAATAATTATTAGTAATCAATTAAAATAATAATGTATTTATAAATGTCAAAATGCGATAAAACAATTAACTCCACCTAATCCAATATTTATAAAATTAAAAGAGCTGTAGGTTTAGGTATGTTTAGTATAATAGCGTATTATTTAAATGAAAAATATATTTTTAAAATTAAAATCATGTTAATTAAACTAATTTAAATTTATAATTTAATTAATTTTATTTATAAATTTTATAAGAGAAGAATATAGTTGAATAAAATAATACTATTTTAATTTTTTTATTTGCATAGTTATTAAGATTCATTTATGTCATTTTGGTAATTTATTATTTATGCTTGTATTATAATTAAAAATCTTGGTTGAAGAGGGTACCAATATTAAAAATACAATAGGTATGATTTAATATTAAAATATTTGTTCACATAGCATGTTGAAAAAGACTTCTCCTCTTACAATTTTATAATCATTTTCATAATTAATGTCTATATTTTAGATCCTGTTTTTATATTTTAATTAAATACAAAGTTGTAATTTTAATGTAATTTACTTTTAACATGTTAATAAAACAAGCATGTCTTTTTAATGTGAAAATCAACTATTAAAAACATTAAAACAAAGGTTATCAATTATAAATACTTTTAACTATATCTAGAAACATTAAAAAAAATGCTAATTACAGAACCAAACAAATAAAATAAATATCTAAATTAAATTTTAGTATAAATAAAGCAATTGATGGCACAGTGTAATGTTATGACATTGAGTAAATAATAAACAATATGAAAGAACCAAGATTTTTTATTTTTTATTTTTTTTTTCAAAATTTGTCAAACACATTTACTCTTATTAGTCATAAACCCTACTTAAAATGGCATAACCTCAAGCTATATGGAAGTTAAAATACCACACAAAAATGACCAATTTCTATATTTTGGTGCAAATTAAACTCAGAATAAAACAATTGTCTCTAAAGGTGTGACCAACCTGTGTTAGTCTAAGATTAAAAAATAAAAGCTGACACATGTGTGAGGAAAATATTATAATATATATAAGTTGAAAAAAATACAAAATACTATTTATTTATTAAAAATAAATTTATTAAATTTAAATATAAGAACCATTAGTTACTTTTAAAATAATTAATGACATTTAATAAATTGAATTTAATAATTCTTAAACTTACCATGAAACTATATGAATTTTATTAAAAAGTCGTAACCGATAACTTTTGAATCAATAACTCCAACTTCTTCCTTGTTCTCTCTTTTAAACTAAAAAACAAAAGCCATAAATATTGTAGGTTCAAAATTCATGGATCACTAGGGAAACGTCCTACAAAATTCCACATGTCATGGGTATGTGCTAATGCAATTTCAACTTTTAAGGAACCCACCCTCCAACCAATTAGACAAAGTTAATGCTTGACCTAAACCACTTAATTACCAAACTACCCTTTCAATTAATTCAAACATTAAAAAAAAAGATACTCTCACTCAGTATGATTTCAGAATTTAGGTTTATTTAATTTTGTTATAAAATTTAACTTATTTTTTTATGTGTGATATAAATGATAAATTAATATATAGTGTAATTTAATTGAGGTAAAAAAAAAGGAGGGTATATAAGTAATTTACAACAGAAAGGACCAGATCTCACGAGCAATCCTAGTACGTTACCAGAAATCTAAGATTATTGTTATAAGTAAAAAAAGAAAAAACAATATTCAGTTATTCACTTCTCACTCACTTGATGATGAACTGGCTTTCACTTTTGAGTCAATAGTCAACTATGCAATAGCACTGAGCCACATATATTATATTATTATTTCTTCAGAAACAATCTTTATCATCATTATTAATTTTTTAACCTTTCCCTTTTTTTTCCTGCGTTGTTTCACCAAGATTTTAAACAACAACATCCCGCTCACTCTCTTCTTTGTCCGAAGCTCGTCCCGAGAAAGGCTTGGAACCCTCTCTCTTTCTCTCTCTGTCTGTGAGCTCCTCTCTCTCTTCAATGGAGGTGGTGGAGCTTGCACGATAGACCAGGTCATTCTTCTTGCATTGCTAGTGAAACAGACCAACAATCTTTTTTCTTTTTGTCTTGTCTTTTTTACAATGTCATGTCGTTGAAGATACAGAGTCTGTTGTGTTGGTAATGATGCTTTTGGGCTTTTATTTATCCCTGTGTTGGGTTTGTAAGAGAATGCGTTCAAACATACTGCATTAATACAAAGATTGAGTTTTGATTGTTTTTCTGTGAAGAATGGTTTGGATGAGTAAAGTTGAGGGTAATAGAGGGGCCGTTTGTATGATTTTCAAAAGGGGAAATCCAAGTGAGCTAAAGGAAACGCAGAATATATTTTGATTGAAGATTGGTTTGGTTTGAACTAAAGCTTTTGAAATTATAGAAATTTTGGAACGTTGATTTATACGGATAAAGATAGTTTTTTTAATTTTTTTTTTAATATCCACTCACAGAAGAATAATCTCTTTCCCTTTTCTACACCATGTTACTGACAAATTGTTGTTGGGTTTCATGTTTATTCCCTCTGAGCTGTAAATATATTTGATTCACTCTGCATATCTTTCTTTCTGAAGCAATTGTATCTTTCAGCGGATAGGATATGCAGTTAGCATTTATTTTCTAAATTTCTCTTTTGACGTGACGTTCCGTTAGCCACGTTAAGAAACTTTAATAGAAGTTTGCCCTACGGAAAGAGTTCACTAAACAAGTTGAGTTAGCGTGATGAAAACATAAATTAGTTTCTGATCTCATATGTTAGCCATTATCAGGAAAACCTTCTAGCATTTATCAGGAAAACCTTCTAGCATTCTTCCCTGTTCAGACAGTGAATTGTTTCGCCTCAAGAAGACCTTATGCTGAGCTGCTCTCCTGCAAAGGGGAAAAATGTGATTTGTGGACTTCTTTGTTACCATGAAGATTTTATGCTAAATGCTCTTTAAGCTAGATTGAACTTAGAATGTTATTCAAATAACTTGCTACTTGTTCAAGGTGTGGCCATCGTATGCTTGATTTCCAACAACTAAGAATCTACCAATTTGATCACTCTGCATTATAAAACGTAGACCAGGTCCACCAGGAAATACTAAATTAGTTTAACGTTTGAAGTGAACTTTGTTTTCTTGATGTGAAGTTGCTGATCCACTACAAAATGTTGCATCTTTTGAGAAACAATAAACACTAGTATTATGCCCGAAGCTTTGCTTTCGCATGATTCGGTCTTTTTGTTGCAGGATTGACACACCAAGATTATACTTCTTCCTGCTGCTCAGAAACTTTGCAGAGATGAAGAAAGAAAGCAGTGTTACACTGAAAACTGGGGAGCTACCTGGTCGATTGACTCGGGCTCGAGCTGCTGCTCTCTGCGCATCAGGACAGCTACCCCCTTTGAAAGAAAGAGCACAGCAAAATCAGATGCAGTTATCCAGAGTCACTTCAAAAAGAGCAGCTTCTGATAATACATGTGTTCAGCGTAAAAAGAGGGCTGTTCTTCAGGATGTTACTAATGTTTGCTGTGAAAATGCGTACAAAAGTTGTTTCAACTCAAATAAAATTCAGGTTTTTTCCATAACAAAGCCCCAACCTCTTAGAGCAAGAAAATGTTTTATTTAAAAAATCTATGCCTCATTGTTCACTGATTACTCTCCTTGAAATTTGTTGCTGGACTGATAGGCTAAGAAATGCAAGCTGTCCAAGGCTGGTCAAATTAGTGCATCCATAGCTCCTTCTGTTGCTGTGGAGTCACTGCAATTAGAAGTTGACTCCAAAGCAAAGAGTTTACAGGAAACAGCATTGAAGTCAGAAGATACTATGTGCTCAAATAATTTGGAAAACAAAGAGCTTCTACGGCCAAGTTCCAATGAGTGTAACATGGATGTTAGACTGCCTGAAAGTCAGATGTCTGGAATATCTGCTCATCCTTTGATGTCTCAGAAGAAAGGTGTTCCTAACTATGCATTACTCAAATACTCCAATTTTACTATAGGACTCTATTTTCTTTGTACTTTAGTTTCTTAAAGGACTATCAACAACAGGGTCTTAAGTCTGAGGTTGTATATGGTGGTGTTCAAGCAAATGTCTCGTGAGACAATAAAGTCAGTTAACCATCTGATATTTGCTTGGTTAACCAAACGAGAGAGGGGAATACCGGGTAGTGGACATAATTTCAAAATCAATTTATCATTTTTATCTTTTGTATTATACTGCAAATTGTTGCTACGGCAGCTGGCCTATATATTTTCGTGATAATCCAACTCGTTGGTACATAGATATTCTAAAGATTATCGGTTTCTTCTTAATATTATAATAAATTGTTGCATGGAAGTATATAAACATTGACCATAATCTGTCATCATTTGTTATATAAGGCTTTTCACGAATTTGTTCAATACCTTAATAAAAAAAATCATTTCTCCATGATTTTTTTTTTCATGTTCTCAGATTTATATTGATCACTATTGACATGCATATGCAATTTTCTTACAGACAAGAAAGATAACCTTTCGAAACTTTTGACTGCATTGAAGGATCCAGACGTCATTAGCATAGACGATGATCTTGGAGATCCTCAATTGTGCAGCCTCTATGCCGCTGATATCTATGACACCATGCGTGTTGCTGAGGTTTGTGCCATAAATATTATGTCATTTGTATGCAGATGCAGTAGTCATCTCTTTGCAATATGGTCTTATTTTCTTGTCAACTCTGCTAGCTTTGAAAGCAAGAAAATAACTAACTTTCTCTGCAAACTTTTTCATGTTGAGGATATAGGTATTGATTTCTTTTCATATACTCTTTATAAGTAGAAAGAACAAGAGCCTTTAGTATTAGAAGATCAGAGTATCCACCCACATCACATTAATAGTATGCTGATAGGTAGAAATAGTCACCTCAACAGCGTTGAGTGGGAGCATGTTTTTATGATGGTTATGTAGCCAATTCGAAAAGATTTTGATTAATATAAATGTTTACATCCATTTAACTCCATGATTAGGACACTGGATTCTTTAATGAAAACACAAGTTAAGGTTACAGAGGTAAGAATAATAGTCAACTTGGTTTCTTTTATTTTCTGATTACCTCCTTAAAATCAACCACCTTTTGTATTGAAGTGTTTTCATTTGTGATTATCTAATTAATATAAATGGTTATTACTGAGAAGCATCCGAGAAATTATCACAGTAGATGATAATAAAATGCTGAACTGGGTGATTGGTTTTAAAATAGCTTGATCTGAATAAGCAATAAGGTTGTTATAAACTTTGGAATATACATGTTAAAGCCAATATGCTGAATTGGACAACATTGTGGGATACTGGGATTCATAGTCTCTAATAGTCCTATCAAATGAAATGCAGAATTTCCATTACCCTTTTGTCATCTGCCTCTCTTAGATTTTCTTTCCTGTCTTAATTTGTTTGTCTGATATTTTTGCATTTCAGCTTGCAAGAAGACCTTATCCTAATTTTATGGAGATGGTGCAGCGAGATATCACTCAAACCATGCGTGGAATACTGGTTGATTGGCTTGTAGAGGTTTGCTTCAGTTACTTTTCTGATATAATTACAAAACTTTTAGTGGTATATGACACGAAAAAATTGAATGTTACAGAGAAGATAATAATGAAGTGGTGATATGGAAAAATATATCGTTGCTTATGAATAAGAGTTACTTGGCATTCAACGTGGTTTGAGGTTACAAAATTCCAAGATGGAGTTGATAATGCCCCAACACAAAGTGACACAACATTCAGTTTAGAATTGAAGCTAGGTGATGAATGACATGGATAAGAATATAGGATTGTTTAAAAAGCATGCAGTTGTGATCAGGTTAATTGAAAAAATATAGATAGGATTTTGAATTGAAAAGATATTCCATGAAGACCGAGGAGGCTTTAAATATTTCCTATGAGAAACAATATAATTTAGTTAATCCCGAAAATGCATTAGTTGGAAGTAGATGATAAGAAGTTACATTGGGAAGCTTTTTGTGTTTTTTAGAGACCAAGTTGTATTCTTAACTTTTTTTTTTCAGGTTTCGGAGGAATACAAATTGGTTACAGATACTCTTTACCTCACTGTGTATCTCATAGATTGGTTCCTCTCCAAAAATTACATTGAAAGACAACGACTTCAGCTACTTGGCATCACCTGCATGCTAATTGCCTCGTAAGTCCTCTAATTCAATGAAGTTGACATTGTGTCGTCTCAGTCTTATCCTTCCACTGCGTATATGTAATTACATTCATGATATAATTATGTTTGAACTGAAATATATAGTTGAATTGGCCTTTGTGTGTGGTTCCTTATTCACTTGATGCTTCTGGTTAAGAATACATTATGTGGTATCCTTGTTTCTATGTTAATGAATGATCATTATTTAAGATATTGATGATTCAGCTTAGGCTGTGAAGGATGGAATGCAAAGATTGAAAACTTTGTGTCATTGTAAATTTTTAGTGCATTTTGAAATGTTTATTTTGTAGGAAGTACGAAGAAATTAACGCCCCGCGTATTGAAGATTTCTGCTTCATCACAGACAATACATACACCAAAGCTGAGGTATGTTGCGTTTCTTTAATAAGTGTTTTAAGGCCAATAACATGATATTTATAGTTTTGCATATAGAAATTTAAAACTGAAGTTTTTATCAAATAAAAATTGAAATCTACTTGCACCGATGCACAAGAACTAAGAACCTCAATCTCTAAGATCATATTCTCTGGCTTTTCAAACTCAGTTTTAAAACTATGGATTCTATATGTTGGAATAATCATCATGCGAAAGTCAATAATAATATAGTATTCTAGAAGATTAAGAAAATAATGTTTTTGGACTTTGAATGGACAGGTACTGAAAATGGAGTGTCAAGTGTTGAAGTCGTCTGAATATCAGCTGTTTGCTCCTACTATTAAAACATTTCTCAGGTATTTGATGACATTTTTATCATCATATCATTAATAATATATACATAAGAAAGAATGAAAGATCATAAGAAAATTTCAATGCATTATTGAGAGATCATTAATGCAATTGTCCTTTTACATTCTTGGTTCTTAGGAGGTTTCTTCGGGCAGCACAAGCTTCATACAAGGTGAAAACATTGATCTTGGGGCAATGCTGCCAAATTATTTGGTTTTGAGTATCACTAACCACTTATTTACCTGCTGAAAAATGTGCAGGACCCCAGCCTTGAATTGGAGTACCTGGCCAATTACCTAGCTGAACTAACACTGATGGACTACGGTTTGTTGAATTTCCTTCCCTCTATCATTGCTGCATCAGCTGTATTTCTTGCCAGGTGGACACTGGATCAATCAAACCACCCCTGGGTTAGTCCTCTCATCCATATTTCCCTTACATGTGAAGTTATGTAAAGGAGGGTACCTAGCATGAATGACGCTTTTTCTTTATTGCAGAATCCAACACTTCAGCACTATGCAAGTTACAAAGCATCAGATTTGAAAACCACAGTTCTTGCATTGCAGGACCTACAGCTGAATACTGATGGCTGCTCTCTAACTGCCATCCGCACAAAATATGGACAAGACAAGGTATAGATATAAACAATTCATAGCATGACCTTTTTGCTATTTACTTGCATGACGTTCATGATGGATTTCTTTGTACCAGTTTAAATGTGTAGCCGCTCTGTCTTCACCAAAACTGCTTGAAACTTTGTTCTGATGACAAAGAAGATTGACAAGCCAATGCAAGGGACTCCTAACTGTTATGCTTTGTACACAGCAAAAATCTTTCCTAATGTAATCTTCCCTTCAACTACCATTCATTTATCCCTGAGATATTATGTACATTAAATGCTAAGCTATCTGATATGTACACAACAAATAGATTATGTTTCTGTATGTACATTACCTGTCAAGCGGTCTGATGTAGAACTAGAACCCCTAGATGAGGCAGACTTGGATATTGTGAAATAATATGTTGCACGATAACCTTGGACTGACTCAGTCCTCACTCTCACTTGTGAAAATTAATTATTTCAATAATCGATTATATTCAAACTCAATTTTTGTACAAGTTTACTGAAAAGTGGTATTGAAATAACTTTGTTTTGAAGCAAAAATAATAAACTTTTCTTATAAGAAAAAGAGTATGCATGAAGCTGCAAAGAAAAACAGTTGAAAAGAAGTAAAATTACAATTTTTGTATTCATAAAATCAACTCTCTTTTTTTTGAAGTTTTTTGCAAATCAAAGTTTGTTTAAAATATGTAGTTGAAATTACAAACGTCCTAGATCACCTATTATCGTGTCATGTAATTAATATAGAAAGTGTTATTTAACAAGAGTCAAATATTAATGTATGATTTTTTGAATAAGGTTTGAAGTTTAAAATTTTGGGCAACATGACTTTAATTGAGTTCTTTAATTTATTTTTCTAGTTCAGAGATGTTTTGACCATGAATGGAAAGGTCTTCAAATAAAAATTAATTATGATATTTTAAAATAAATTTATGTTTTTTATCACTTGTTTTTATTATGTTAAAACTAAAATTTGTAAGAGCATTTATTTATTATTTAAAATAAATAAAAATTGTTAGTTTTAATATTTTAAAAAAATGTGTTTACATGTTAAAATCAAATTTTGTATGTTCATGAAACTTGTATTTATTATTTTGCTCTGAGCCCAAAAAATGTTAGGATTGACATGTCTTTAATTTAATATAAAAGAAAAAAAAACCCTACAATTTAAATATTTAATTATGTTTAATATAGACAGAAAAAATTGAAAAAATAATTAAAAAACTAATTAAAAGTTATATAATTAGTTATGGCTGATGCTTCAGGTTTTGTTATTTTTCTGCTTATTTTTACATTTTCTACAAATTAAAAGAAGAAATGTAATTTAATATACAATTTAAAGTGAGGAAGCTGCATGTATATTTTCTTTAACAATCTTTCAAAGAAAATATAAACTCAATAAAGGATTCAAAAATATATTGAAACTGGTTTTATTTAAGAAATGTAAGTCTAACTTTATTTGGATTATCATAATATTGGTATTTTAAAATCAATTTTCTACATATTTAAGATATTCACATAAAGTTATAAGTCAAGACTGATTTAGTTTAGTTAATATGAAAAATCCCTCCCCTTTAAATTTTCTCCAAATTTAGAGGAAAACCCAAATTAAATATAAAAAAATCTTAATATTAATTCCTACGATGTATCTTATTGATAATTAATCTTTATTAAAATATTTAGTTGATTAAATATAATAAAATATTCTTTTTAATTAGATTTTAAAAATATTTATACATTTATTCACAATAAACAGTTTTTGAATTTCTAAACAAAATTTAATGAAATTTTTCTTTATTAATTAAAATCTTCTTAAAAAATCCCTCAAACTAATCTCTTTTAAAATAAAGAGTGAGATAAAATTTTATATCATATCTTTATTATAATTTAAAAAGTTTATTAGTTCGGTCCAAAATAATATTAATCAATGATGAATATATGGATCCTTAATAATTTTTTGGATAAATTCGGCCTACTTGAAACTAAAATTACATTAAAAAAAACAAAAGTTTTGATTAACATTTATTTCATTTCTGTCCAAAATAACCTAATATTTGTTGTAATGTTTTTTTTTTCTCACTTATGTTTGTGGTTTATTAAAGATGATGATGTGTGTGTGTTGGGTTGAAAAGACAGAAAGAAGAGATTGTAATGGAGTGATGGTTTTGAGTTTGGGGTGAGACATTTTGTTTGTTTCTTCATATTTGGCGTTTCTTCATCAGCTTTTTAGGATAACTATGCTCTCTACTTTCACTACATTTCTCACTTCTTTTCACCCTCTTATTTAGATTATTTGTCTTTTCTTTTTATTATAAAAATACTTAATTCAATTTTATAAATAAATTAAACTTATATTTTAAATAATTTAAATATTTTAACACTCTTTTAATGTATTTTTAAGTTTTTGAAATAATTAATCCTGGTAAATTCTCGCTCAATGTAAAAACTGTTACTCAGACGTGTTTAGAAAAAAATTTATTTTATTTGATTATGAATGTTTAATAATAAATTAGAAAACAAAATTTCATATGTCTAAATAAACCTTTTTTTTTTTTTAAATTGATTTGTACTTGCTACTGTTTCGGAATAGTTTTCCATCTTTTCTTTGCTTGGGCCGTAAAAGGGTATTATTACCTAGGATTTAGAAACTTTTGACCAAGGCCCACACCAACTCTTTACATTTATTCATATTTTTTTTATTAAATATATATTTCGATGATTTAGAACCTTTTTACTACAAGAATAATATAAAAATTATTTTCTAAAATGTTAATTTCAATTAACATGAAAAAAATATATATACTTAAAGGCCTATTTAATTTGGATTTTTTCAATGATTATTTTTTTTATAAATGATTTTGAAAGCAAAAAATAAAAGAAAATTAGCTAATAAATAAAACAATTTTTTTATTTTACAAAAAAAATTATGATTTTTTAAAAACATATAGTAATTATGTGCTTTTCTTTTAATTAGCACATAATGCAATACATGCATTCAATATTTTTATCCCATTTGCAACACCAAAAAGCTTCCCTCCATTCTTTTCTTAACATATCAATTTATGAACAAGTATTATCATCTATATAAATAATAGTGACATTGATAATAGTAAAAGTTATAATTTTTTTTATTTTTTTTAATGAGAGGTATCATAACAAGTAAATCTAGTAAACCAATAAAAAAAATAATTAATACATTGTTAAAGTTAAAATAAAATGTTTAAATATTTAAAATTTTTATATTAACAGTTATTCACGTAAAAAGAAATTAAATAATAAGTTTCTTATAAATTTATGAAAAAAAAATTGATATGGCTGTTTCCTATGTCAACATTTAAGAAATAGAAGGAAAAAAAAACCCCTAGAAATTGGAATCAGTAGCAAAAAGATATACTGCTATAATAAATTGTACACTGGGATTGAAAAAACAAGAGAAATCATTAATCTAAAACGATGAGTTCTCCCCATTGATTATATAGGGTTCTATATGTCATTCATTAACACTTAAGGTAAACAAAAGTCTGATTCATATATCAAACTAAAAACCCATGCTTTCTCAAATATAGGAAAAGGATAACATAAATTTTGATTCATGATCGATCATCAATTAAAATATTCTTCACTTTCCCACGCTTTCTATGAATCCCTTTAAAGATCCTTTTGGTTGCAAACCGAAACCCTTTGCATCTGCTCTCTTCATAATCCTCAGCCTCTTGCATGACTCCATAAACATTCTGTTCAAGCAAAATCATGGAAGACATAAGTTTTACATCACAGAATAGAAAATTACTGTAGTTTTAAAAATTTAGAACCATGGCTAAAATCATCGTTATCATCATGGGAGATTCGATCATTCTGGGAAATGTTGCCAACTAAGAACTTTTCCTTTTTTTTTCCTACCCCTTTGTTTTGATGTATCCAATAACAATAATGGCTGTGCCCTTTTGAGGGTAGGTCACATCTTCCCCTTCCTAATTTGATGCTCAACATTATAAGGAGGGATTCACGCATGTCGGCTATATGGGGTCCAACATATATCACCAATATCACAGAAAAATAAAATTGTCGATTTTTCACTTTTCTGCATAACTTTTCTAAAATGCTGGTCTCACCGAAAATTGCAAATTGTTCATATGAAGTTTTCAATTTTAATAATTCATAGAAACCTTGATCAAACGATTTTCACAAGCTTATCCGTGTTTCAGTTTTTTAAGGTAACTTGGTTTTACATGTTGTTTCAATCTATCAGTGGGACAACTTACACAGTAGTTTGAATCTTTTTTGGATTGTAAACCACGTATGCATGCAGAATCTCTGGTATTTAATCACGTAATTAACAAGTAATTAGACCTTAGATTTATTCACAGTATATTGACATATAGTTAACGAAATTTCCTTAGCACGCATAATTTTCAAAGATGGAATGATGTTTGGTAGTGGATTTACAAACAGTTAGCAAATGTAGGAGAGGCTTGTTTCAGAAAACACGGAAAGCTGACTCTATGACAGTATATAAAAGTATTTCTGGTTCTGGTTTTTCTTCACTCGTATTATATCAATTCTCTCTCTCTCTCTCTCTCTCTCTCTATATATATATATATATATATATATATATTGATTTATTTGTTAGTCAAATGTAGTTTAGAAATTCATAATCTTTATTCTAACAATTCAATTTATTTTAGAGAAAATTTATACATGTTTATTTTAGTATATATAATGATTATCATGTCTAGCTACATAGATTAACGTAGTTTGTGTTCTTTATAACTTCACACTTAAACAAATTATTTTACTCTAAAAAAAAAATATAAAAAATAATAAAATAAAAGGTGGGTAGTGGCCAAAAGGACTTACTCCCATGGAACATCTCCAACCAGCATCCAGTCACCATCTTTGTCCTCATAAATGGGAACGTGTTCACTGTTCTCTGCATTCTTCAACGCTTCCACTGTCAACACATTCCAGTAAACAAATATTAATTTTCACTAATCATTATTAATATTTTTTTTGCTTTTGTTGGGTTTGGTTCCCTTTAATTATGCTAATGATGATTAGTTTATACATAGAGTTTAAGTTTATTCTTCTTGATCCATTTTTTTTTTCATGAAAAGAGAAGTTCAACTTTATGTATACACTATAGCTGCACGCCATCACGTAATAAGCAGAATGTCTAATTATTATATATACTACTTGGTCTCCCACTTTGTCCTTCTGTCTCTTTGTTCCAAATTATTTTACTCATGCCCATTCTTTATGGGACAATTATAAAAACAAAAGATTCTTCATAATCCTTATGTTGTGCAGCATAATATTCACCGGTCCATTCGTTTTATTTTGCAGTGGAAGCATAATCTAATTTCGGATTGTGCTAATTATGTTCATGAAGACCCTATGCTATATATCAACCACGTGCAGTTCTTAAAAATAGTAGTTACAAAAGATCAAGATCGATGCCAATGTTCTCACGTCAAGATCAACAAAGAAACTCAGAGGGTATATATTAATATTATTATGTTGCTGCGTTGAAGCCTATTGGAAACCTTTTCATGATGGGATGGAAAAAAGCTTGTTTCTTTAGCGAAGGAGTTGGGATTTGAGTTCATCTTCTCTTGAAAATTAGGACAACCATATTTACAGCACTATATACTATCAGTGAGGTTCATTGAAAACTACAATAAACTAACTCTCTCTTTGTTAGTCAAATTTATTCTGAATTTCATAATCATGTGTCAGATTTTTAACAAATTTCAATGAATTAAGAATTAGAGAGAGTGGTGTTAATATTTCTCTTTTACCATATAAAAAGATCACATGTTATTCCTACGGTTTCGAACTTCCATATGTATATGCTTGTGCATGCTTCTAATTTGTTGCGTAAATTTACCCTAGCTAGCATGAGAAGATAGATAAATAGCACAAAAAATGAAGAAAGATTGAAAGATGGTGTGGAAGAGAAACTGACCCATTCCGTAGCAACCAAAGAGCTTCTCCAAAGCGAAGGCTAAATCGGAGTATCCCTTGTGCAGACCCAGATCCATTTTACGCAAGAAAGGAGCACCATCCATGCTAACCTTAACGTACATTTTCGAAGCTTCGTTCACACTGTTCTTCTTCCTGTACGAGCACACCGGAGGCCACCCCACCACTTGATTCTTGCTCTCCATTTTGCGGTCGCCGCCGCCGGAGGAGCTGTTTTCATCTCCAACACCATCAATCTCCGAGAACACCCTCTTATTCTTCTTCTCACCGTTCTTGTTAGCCACACTCACATGCTCCGTATCGGGCAGACCCAACCTCAGCTCCGTGATTTCAAGTCCAAGATCTTCTTTGGCCATAACTAGGGTATATACTATAATATGGTTTATTAGTTTCTCTTAGGCTGAGATGAGAATATTACTCTATAATTTGGTGTAGTGAAGGGTATGGATGAATGGTTTGTTGAGTATGGGTGAAAGGGTTTAGTTAGAATGTGTATATATAGAAAGTGAATGAGAGAGGACTTAGTGGGAGGTAGCAATGACAGACAGGTCAAGTAAGGAGAAGTGGTCGGTCACATGAGAAACAATTGTGGGGACAAGCTTGTCTCCTCGCTAATGAGGGCAGCACCATAATTAGTTAGATATGGGACACATCCTACGACTCTTGCTGCTTTCTCAGATCTGATTATGGCCGTTTGATTAGATGACTGCAGGGAACATGCCATGTGACTTGCTTCATTGAGCTGTACATGCAGCTAGCTAGCTCTTTGCATTAAATTATATGTTCAGAGGCTTCATTACACGAAGAAAAGCTATCTGCATGATGATTATGCAAATTTACCATCCCTGTTTCTTAATATCACTAGGTTTAAGATTCTCTTCTTTTATACTTTCCATAAATTTTCAGAGATGTGTGTGTTGTATACAAGTGACCACACCCCCAATGGAGATATACAATGTAAAATCAAAAGGAAATGAGAATTTCAGCATAATTCATTCCATTTCCTCTGTCGGCAGGAACTACCAGTGCTGTTTTCAGTTAATAGTAAAATCTGATAAAGTCATCTTTGTTAGGGAACATATGTATATGTATGGCCAAGTCCATGTCACAATGCATGTGATTCGTGAGCATCATGTCATAGATCGGTGATGATGCAAAGGAGCAAGGGACCCGAGGCAATTCTCTATATAGATAATGTTACATAGAACGAAAATTCATAATGTATTACAACAAAGAAGAGAGAAGTATGAAGTATAATTAGGTAGATAAGAGGAAAGAGAGAAAAAGAAAATATGAAAATAGATTGAGGATCGATGTATCGTTACTTATTGTCTGTGGAATGTGAAGGATCAGGGAATCATATCAGTCAAAGTCTAGCAAGGAGCACAAACACTTGGGGCCTCCTCAACAAAGTTACAAACGCGTAAAGCCAGGTTACCTGTTACAATTCAGAAACCAGAGTTACCACTTCACAAACCTAGCACTGATCATAATGTTCCTTTGCCCTGAAACTCTACCACAATTATTTGTGTTCAAATTTTACAAAACTAATCATAACAAAAAAGAAAAAAAAAAGAAATCTTACTTTCATACATTTTACAAGTCAATTTTAATTTGAGATATCAAATTTGATCTGATTTTATAGGATTACTTAATTACATTAATGCGTGAGTTGAACTTGAACTAGTATGTGATAATTTTAGACTTGAAAGTTGATTTTGGCTCGGATGACAACCCAAATTTTTATTTTTCATTTTATATTTTTTGTGGTTTTTTTTTATAATTATAAATGTTATATTCAATTATATTTGTTGTTAATGTCAATTTAAGATTAATATATCATTGTTATAATTGATATATACACCCCATCTTATTTCTACCACCCTGTATTAGCTGATTATGCAAAAAGTTAATTTGTTTTGATAGTTTTATTTTTAAAAGATAATGGCATTAAACATAACCCGAAGCATTGGATTCAATCAAGGAAAGAAGCAAAATCGAAAATCATAAGAAAATTCCAAATTGCGATGACAACGAGTGCAGAAAATATTTATATTTAAAGTATTATTCATTTTAAAGTTTTAATCCGTCAATGATATCATTCATTCTTAAATAGAACATTGACATCTAATGTGAGATCAAAAATAACTTAGTTATCTACTAATATTTATATTTTAGTATGTTATTGAGTTTCGCATTGCTTAAGAGTCGAGACTAAAGATAGTTTATATACACCATCATTTCTTAATCTATCAAAACCTCTTTTAAAGATAAAATCGCAACGGACAAAATTGTTAAAGTAGATAATATCTCAAACGTGAGAACTAATTATAATAATATTATCATAACAAATATGAAATTAAGATATTCAATAAGACTTGGGGTGAACAAGAATAAAACAAAAAAACTAAAGAAAGAGAAATACGAAGGATACATTCTAAAATTGTGGCTTTGTTATTTTTGTGGTTGAATTGAACTTTATATGTGGCCATGAGAGACATCCCTTGTAGCCTTTTTAACACTGTTGAATATATATGGAATCTCTTTGACTTGACAACTATAGAAGAGAGAAAAGTTATTAAAATTTCGTTAATGCATTCATCAAATTACACATCATTAGTTTCTGCTTTCATTTTTTTCACTTACCACAAATTTTGAAACCTAACCAACATGCTTAAACAATTGGTGTTTCTTATTGAAGTGCATTGACTTGGTTTGAGCAACAACAAGCAAAAATCTAACCAGAATTATAGAGTAGGTTGATTTGAATAAATAAAATAAACTCTTTTTATAACTTGTTTATATATGAATTAAATAAAACTTTTGTCTATTCTTTTCAAGCACATGTAGATGAATTTTGCTTCATTAAGATTTGCTAAGATATTTTAGATACTTTTTTTAATATTTTAGATTACGAAAGATATGATGCATGGTAAAATAAAATCCCTATTCAAATGGCATTAAATAGGTTATAAATGGGATCACTGAATATAAGAATTGGGATTGCATGTAGTAGAAGGAGTAGACAGAAAAGTATAAAGCAAGATATGAGAGTATAAATATGGAAACTTGAATCTCCCAAATATCATGTTCTTTCTTCAAATTTCAAAACCTAATTAACAAAAACCAAGGATCTTCATATACACTATAATAAATTTTGAATATATTGTAAAAGCCTTTTTAATTAATTAGTCTTAATTTTATTTCAAACCTAATAATTTATTACAAGCAATAAATCAATCATATACGCCCACATGACATAATAAGTGCAAGTGGGTCTTAATTAATTAGTTAATTTCAATTTAATGGTACTGCATATGCTTAACTGAACACTATAAATATATATATACACATGTCAGACAGAGAAAGAGAAACAAACCAAGTTCATTGATAGAAGATTCGATGATTTAATTATTAATTAGTTGGAAACTAATCAAGGAGACAATGCCCTTATGTCGTTATGGTTAATTAGACAGTTAGGTTAATTATGTTAATATTTCTTTTAAATAAGTTACAAATTTAACGGTATATAATTTCTCAATATCAAACATTTTAATAAAGAAATTCAAATAATGGGTGAAAAAGAGATTCTAATAACAAAGAGAAAATAAATATAATAATATTGTAGTATATAAATAATTATAATTCTCATCAAATTGATTATATTTTATTATATTTAAATGATTTGCATGGATTTTAGAAATTATAGCATCTTCTTTCATCAAGTGCATGCACATGGATGGCAAAGTAAAAATAATAATAAATACTGATTTGGTTGAAATTGTGGTTATATCTACTGTGTTTAGTAAATAATACACAGTATATCAATTCAAACTTTATTTATTTATATAGGTAATTATAAAATTGTAGATGTATAAATTAAAATTATATATAATATAAATAATTAATATGAATACAATATAATATTATATATGTTGAAACCTTATCTAGTAAATAAAAATTCTGATTATTAACACAGTATAATAATTATTAGTTGAAATGATATATATATATGTATATTCATTCTCAAAATGCACAATTAATTTTCTAAACTCAAATACATTAAAATTAACTGGCTTAGAAGTTCAGCAATTAAAAACTGTTTGATAAAAAACACAACCATTCATCTTATACTGAAAATTAACATAAAAAAAAATTAAACTGCTTGAGAACTTGGTCATATATATAAAGATAATGATGATATATTATGAGAAAAAGGGATTTCAAATGATCTTTCACATACAAATCTTTTGTATACTGATTGCAATATCTGCAACAATTATATATGATTTGTATTCAAATACAGAGATCAAACATAAAATTAATTTGCTTCAATGGCTTATGTAAGAGTAGGTGGGGTTCTCAATATATGGTGAAAATCTTCACAAGTAACTCATTTCAGATCTAACTCATCTAAAACCATGTATCTGATAACTATATTTGTTTTTTCAAGTCCTGTGAATAGTTGAAAACCCTAAACTGAACCTTACTTTGTGAGTTTGAAAAAAGTATATTATTACAAATGGGATTGAGTCGTTATAGAGAATATATTGGGGCCACTTTCAGACATGGCTGCAATATTGGTGCTGGTTTTGCTTCTGTTACTGCAAGATACATATGTATGTAGCAGAAACATGTGTCCCCGGAACTTGTTTGGTGAACAACACAACACAAAACAAACAACACATATATAACACAAGAGCTTGCAACTAAACGAACGTTGTGAACTGTCCCTTCCCAACCGAGCATATGTTTCCCATGGCTTCGACATGGCCATGAGATTCACCACATAGCCCCCACACGTGATGCCACTTGTTCCCACCATATCACATTTATTCACATTCTTCTTACACCTTCATCTTAATTTAAACTAGTTATAACTTCTAACTCCACCCCCAAATATTCTATCTAAATCAATCAAAATTTGTAGGAAGAAGTTTGACTAAAAAAATTTCATTTTAAAGGAACCGAAAATATATTTTGTCTATTTTTCAATGAGAGAGGAAAAAGTAATTGTAACCAATTGATGTGGTGTGTATTTTGTAAAGTAACGATTTCATTGATGGTTTTACTAACTTTTTCTACACTAGTTTTTAATCGAAATGCACTACTACTTTTGAAAGTTATTCGAGTAAAATAAGATAGAGTTCGTTTCTAATAAATATATATTTTTTAATTAGAAATCATTTTATCTTTTATTGAAACATTAATATCGTTTCTTTCTAAATTCTGTGAAGCCAAAAGAAACAAGTTCCTTTTACAGTTTAAAATCAATTTAAAATGTTGATGTTTTCCTTTTCTTCTTTTTAATTATATTATTATATTTATGATAGAAGATAAACAAAATATTTATTTTATTGAATTTACACATGTGCTCATGCGCAAAACTGAATATGGGGAGCAACTTAGAATAATTTTGTTGTTGCAATCAATTATTCCATACATCATTATCATCAAAATCACAATTATGGACAACGAAATCAATTATAATCAACATACTTTGCGATGATTTAGCTTACTATAGTATGTTTAAATTAATCAACATTACAATTTATTTTTAATCAACCAAGTAATCATCCATACAACACAAAACGGTAAAAGAGATTTTTTTTTACACACCAAAAGAAATTCAATAAATTTGTAAATTGACAGACTTCAAATTTAATGCAAAAAGTACAAATTGGTGTACGTGATTTTTTATTTGTCTTACATAAGGGCATTAATGAAAGGCATAATAAATAAAATATTCTTACTGGAAATAATTAAAGAGAGGGTGCTGATAGCACTCTTGAAAAAAAATAGTACTTTTGATTTTCTTAATCAATACTGTAATAATAGCTGTTAGTGTTCTCTTTATTTTTTTCATAATTATAAATTTGCTTTTGCTAAAGTTTTTATGATTATAAATAAAAAGGTATTAGTGAATGCAAAATTGATGAAAGAATTCTTTTTTTAAGGTAGAGGTATACATGCATACGTGTACTAAGATTGACAAACAATTAATTCAAATCAATAATGGAAGTCACGTGGGAAGTGCCTTAGCTCCTACATGTTCAGAAATTCAAACTGCAAAATCACTAGCCCAAAGTCTCTAGGAAGAACTATATACTGTTTATGTATTTTTTTTATTATGTTGTTCGATCAAAAGAATAAAATTTGTTGCTTTTATTATCTCATTAACCATTCATTACGTTATTTTAACTAATTAACAGATAGATATTAGCATTGCATGAACTGTGCGTGGTAATTGATTGGAAACAGATGGCTAGCAATTTGGAAAAAAATGTTATAAAATAATTGAATCATGTTAATAATTTTATGTGTAGAATGAACTAAGTAATTGAAACTGTACATGGGATAATGAGTATAAATTACCATATAAAGTAATGAGAAAATGCATCAGGTTATAGATGAGGTTCTTCGAATTAATCGCAAGTTTACATAAAACTAAACTATAGCTAGAAAAGATTGACATCGTTTGAACACCTGAACACAAATTCTATTCTATGTTATGCTCAAAACTTATTTCCAACATACCTGGCTAACTGTTTTTAAGAACTACATAATTTTATTATGTTTATTGTTATTGTATCTCAGATTATTGATTCAACTCAAATGGTAAAACCAAGGATAATAATTTCATTCTGCATGCAAAATGCTACCCGCACACAACACTTCTGTCAACCTCCAAATTTTACCGAATTCATCCAAAATTATGTCATCCAAAATTATGTAATTTTGGCATCCAGTATCAAAACTTAACATGATTTAATGTTTATACATAATGAATAGGCCAATTAAATAGGAAAGATACAACATGCTCTCCCTATATGTATGTTGGCTGGATGCAGGATCAAAAACCTAAACAATTGTGTAGCTCTCCCAACGACCAAAATGAAAATCTAAGATAATGGTACAAGCAGATGAAGCCCCCCGTCTACCACCTCGCAGAAAAAAAGGTGAACAAATTGAAAAGTCAATCCTAAGACAAGATAATTGAGGTAAAATTATACACATTTGCAAACCAAATAAATATCACAGATGGGAGGGAGAAATCATGCAAAGAACATATGTGGAGTTTTCCATAACCCGCACCAAAACTGTGACCTTTGTTGCGCAAACTGCAACCCGGTCGTTTCTGGGAGTGTCAAATGCCGTTTGGTTCTATAAGCATCCAACTGGGTATGTGTCATGGATGCAACCGACTTGATCAGATAGTGAGATCTTTAAATGTCTCTAATTTTCCGTTTGATGTGATATGGTTAATACTATCATTTTCAGAGTTCTTCCGTAACTGGTTGAAAGCCGAATTGGGAGAGGCAGAGCTGTGACTTCCCTCAAAGTACGTAGAATATGGGAAGTAATCTGCACAACGCACCTTCCATCCTGCAAGAGTTATATAGACTTAATCTCCAGATGTACTATTATACTATCAGATATATGAACAGAAAATAAAAATTAAATATAAATTGATAACACTAAATAAAATAATTAAATGTTTTAACAAACAATCATCTCCTTTAGCCCCTTTTTCCTCGAAAAAAGACAATCACGTCTGGCTTTAAAGTAAAGCAATTAGAAATTATTTAATATTCTGAAGACAAAAATATTTCAGCATTGCTCCTTATTTAGTCAGGCATCCCAAAAGTCCAAAAGTTATACTTACTCAATGCAGCATCCTGATCAGAAAGAACTGTTCCAAGAAGATTGTGAACTGCCATACAGTCTTTAAGTTTCCATTCCCTGATTGGTCCAAGTGCTCCATTTCTAGTATAAGATATTTATGAAATATTCATTAATACCATTACTAAGATTTGATAGTCAAAATGAATCTAGAAAAGAAACAAGATTAAGTTTATAAATCACAATACTGAAACAAAAACAAATAGTAACACGTCAGAGTCCATAAATTAAAGACAAGATACATACACAAGCAACTATTCACGCACAATATTTTAGAAGAAAAAAATGTCACTTTATTTCAACATCCTCATTTTAAATAATGTTGCTTTGTTGATAGTCTGCTCCACTTTACTTGACCTTGTTTCCGTCTCTAGGATAAAGAAAAACACCTTAACCACGTTTAAAAATTAAAATTAGAAACCAGACAAGAAAAACACTTTAACCACCTTTCAAAAATTAAAATTAGAAACAAGACATGACATGCGACTGTCTTTTACAGCAATACCGTTTAGCATTTCAGGAAGACAACCATTCATCTCCATCCACAAAAAAACAGGATGGATGTATGTCACTCATAATCTCAGTGGGTGGCTGTCCTCAACCCTCTTGGTATTCTTTTCCATCTTCTCACTATGATTCATAATTACTCTCGCCAAACCAAACAGCCTAAGTCCTCCATTAATTACTTTGAACAGTAAAATAAAATGATTTAGATAATACTTTAAAACAATACTATGACCAAAAAATTTAAAAATTAGGGACAAAAAACAAAAATTGAAATTTATTAGGAATCAAAAGCTTTCAAGCAAAAAAAATAAACAACTCTACATGTATTTATAATGAAAAGGAAAAAGGAATTTAAAAAAGACTTGGCCAAGGAGGTTTTAGAGAAAAAAGAACAAAACTAACTTCTCTTCACTCTTTCCACACTGTCTTTCTCTACACCCTCTATTTTTAAAATTCTATTATTTTCTACTTTAACTTTAAAAGTGTTTATAAACTATAAAATAAAGCTAGCCCAAACATAGCTAAAGAGAACAATAAACAAGAATATGTTGAATGTGCTTAATAGCGTCACCGAAAATGTTGTAAAGCATTACCTGGGCACAATGTTATTTGTTGAATCTTCAATAAACTTAACAGCCTCGAATTTTCTGTTTGAATCCAAAATGTGCAAGATTTCTGCAAAAGCTGCTCTATGCATCAAAGAATCTGCAAACAGACACAATTTAAGAAATCTTCATAAAGAAACTTGAAAGATATGCATTGCAGTGTTGATGATAAAACTCACTATGATCTTTATGTTTTTCAAGGACGGAGTCGTTTGCTTCAAACAAGGATTTCTCATGCAGCTGGCTGCAAAAAAGGAAACAGATAAAGTTACAATAAAATGATAATTATAAATGAATAAAACAATTGTACATACCAATCCCCAAGAAAACGAAGAGGGAAAAAAATATGAATTAAGAACCTAATATTTGGGCGCTCAGCCTCTAAGACACTCCAAATCAGTTTCTCACTGTCGGTCACAGGCGCATTCATCGATCCCACGTTATGAAAGAATTTAATCTGCAAAATATTAACCAAATAAATTCCAGAAGAGAGATTTTTCCTCCATTTGAGTATTTGATGTAGGAAAGAATAAAGAGAAAGCTAGAATAAAGAAATTGAAAAACAGACTAGGAGTAGTTGGTATCAAATACCACGGTACACTTTTCATAACATATGTACCATATGCTTTTCATGTGATAAAGACAAAAGGATTAAGTATAGAAATCATAGAATTATTATCGTTATTATTATCCCTATTACTGTTATATCAAAAAGATGGCTTTGTGGATAAGAATAAGATTAAATTGTATTATTATTATTATTTTTATTTTAATATCAAAACATTATAATATTAAATTTACTAATTCCAGTGACATGGAACTGATGTATTCTTCAAAAGAGACACCATACCAAGCAACGATGAGAATCAGGGTGTTCAGCATCCAATCTCAGTAACTGCTTTACAGCCTACAATTCCAAAGAGAAAGAAGTGTAATTATTTAAATATGAACAAAATGATGCTAGAAAAATAAGTTAGTGGGCTCCTCATACATGAAAGGCAAGCAAAATCTTTTGTTTCCTTGTATATAATTCAAAAGAAAGCAAGTGTGTCTCCAACGAATCAGGGGAATTCTTCTGCAGCAACTTCAAGTATTTAGTGGCTTCTGACAGTGGATCTTCAACCTAAGTCGGAAACAACACAAGAAAAAAGGTGAATTTCTAAATGAATATGAGCAGAAACATTCTGACCTTGAAATTTGTATGTTAATCCTGACACAATTATGCTTTATTTACACACAATTATGCAATGCACTACATTGTTTAACATCAGAAGTATGTACTATAGCATTTTAACTGGTCAAAGTCCATATAATTTTTGTTTTTACTAGAAGAAATATTATTTGAAAAAATAATAGAGGAACTCTGCAAATGTTATTCAAATTTATATAATGCATCCAAACCCTATAACCATCCACTCTATGCAAGGGGCTTTACCACTCCATCCTCCTGAATCCTGATCAGCAGAGGAGAAAACAACTATTTGTATTGTGTATTTCTAAAACCCTTTCATTTTTCATAACCCATATTGTCTGCCACTCCACACATAATAAGGCAATTATAACATCCTGAATTGATTAGATATTTGCAGTTTTTCTACCAAGATCCAAAATGCAAATATGCATGGTGACAATCACCGCAGGGGTAACCTATAGTTACTCATCTACATGAGCTCATGGAGAAAAGTTTTATTTGAGCACTGAATGAAATTTTAAAACAGTCAAATAAGAATCTACTTGGGTACAGTTGAAAGTATAAGGTTTAGGCCAAGAGGGATAGAAAGGAGAGAACAGAGACTAATAGAGATTTATATTAATCTCATAACATTAGATGTATTACAAAGTGACACAACATAATCCTTGTATTAATAAATCGCAACATGTAAGGTAATATGAAACCAATGCTAAGACTTAATATACTCAATATTACTCAAATATATAATCAAGATATTATTTGATATTTCCATGTGTTCTAATAGACATTAAATGCATTAAATTTGAACCTGTAACAACTTCTCCCCGTTTGGATCAGGATCAACAGGTTTTACATGTCGCTTCCCAGACTTTGATACCCCAGTTGCACTTAACTCTTCATTCTTTTCTTCTGCCTCCTGAAAACAAATTTAAATAACAGGTTAAGTACCTTTCCCACTGGAAGTTCAACTGAAGCTAAAGAAATTGACTACAATACTTTTTTGGCTCTTGCTTCTGCCTTTCTCTGTTTTTGCCTCAATTTCTTTTTCTGAGAAGGAAGCAACTTTGACATATTATCATCTTCCTCTGCTGTGGACTTTGGGGGAGAATCATGCAACTTAATATAGCATCTGCAGCTCAAAGTGTTACATTCATGGGATTATAAACACAATCAAAACTCAGAAGTACATTGCTTTACTTGTATTAATTAAGGCAGAACGGTTATAACAGTCCTTAAGGATCTTTAGGATATGAAACATAAACCAGAACCAAACATGAAGTATGCCAAAAAACACTGTTGCTCTTGCATTACAAAGAAACTTTTTAAAAAATTCACAAGTTTAGTTTCCCATATAGCTTTTAACTTCCATAACAACTCAGTTAATCAAATCACCACACAATAGTAACAGGTATAACTCATTCAGTATAGAAGAATACCAACAAAAGACAACATGGTATTCACCTGATAGCCCCAGCTGCTGCTTTGTGAAAATATGCATGCGAGTGCAGTTGGTCTTGAAATCTAAGCATTTCCACATAAGTACGCAAAGTCATTTTTCGTAAGCAATATGAATGAAAATCAAATTGGTCCTCGGTAATATCAGCATAATGCTTCTCTACTGCTAAAAATTTTTTCAGCGCCCGTCCAAGATCACCCTGGCGGAAATAGCTTTCACCCGAGGCAAGCTCATACCTTCCAAAGGTAGATGTGACACATTAAGTAATTATACCACAGTACTCATTAAATAGTGCAGAATATTAATATATCAGTATATACCAACCACATGCACTGCATGTCATGAAGGTTATTGTGTTGATCCCCATCTTTTGTGAACAATACAGCAGTTTTTTCAGCCAAAGACACCTTTGTATCAAAGGAATATATATAAATAAAGTATATCAGAAAATGACAAGTTACAATGCCTCGGTAGTTAACATCCAAATATAACCAAAAGATAGACAAAAAACCTGATCAGCCTGCAGCATCCGCTTAACACATTCACTATTAACATAACGATCAGCAAGATCCATACACCTAGCTTCATCTGCAAATGCAGCAGCAGCAACCAAATCACCAGCATGCTTCAGTATCCGACTCTGTTTTACAAATATAAACAACAATCTTTCAATTTTGCTATAGACTGTTGAGGATAGCAAAGGTAACTCCAAAGTCAGTTTCACACATAGTCTAACTTGGCCCACGGGTAATTTAACTATCTAACCTGCTTTAACAAAGCTTCATCGCAATATAGAGACAATATTTCCAAAATTCTGACATATATGTTATGAAATGAACAAGGCATGTCGTGAACCATAGTAAACATAAGCATACTGTTTAAGCAGATTTTCAGTTATTACAGTTCAGATTTCAGAATGCCTATATAATTGGCAATGGGCATAAAAACATAAATCATCAAAAGTGATATGATAATTTATCAAACAGACAAACGATTAAACTGGTCAAAACAGCCAAAATACTGATTTAAGCATATTACACGGGTGATATTGAATATTGAACCATTTTTCATTAAGTAAGCATTCTCTCTCTTAAAACTCTAAATCTTCAAACTAATGTTACACATCAAATTATTTGAAAAATAGTCTTGGTGGCAAGCATTTAAGAACCTATTATGATATTGATATACCTATTTTCTCAAAGTAAAATAGAATTAGAGCAAATCCTCATGTCATATTAAATTATCAATATTTAAAACTACCATTGTACAAAACACAAAATATCTTATCATTTTTAACAGAGAAACATTTGAACATTTTAAAATGAATTAAGTAACATGTTAGAAAGAGCATGGTCGAAGTGGGCAAAGTAAAATATGCTAGTTTATACAAAGACTTCAAACATAAACACACAAATTTGGATGAGACATTAATTTGTGTAACTGGCTCACCAGTCATGGAAATTTCAAAATGATTTGAAGTTTACACACATTTTCAGTGTTTTGTGCAAATTATTTGTATTGTGAAACAGAAATTTTTGAAGTCAGACCATACTAAATTTTAGGTTATCAGATCAAGATTCAAATCATCCACAGTTGAATTTTTGAATTATGAATCATAATTTGTATAGAATTGTAAGATTTTGAGACAACAATATACATAAAGGACTAGAAAGATATGAAGAAAAGTGTTTACAACTCCAACAAACCTTGACGGAATATAGATCAATAACTGTAGGTGTATGTTCTATAGCTTCATCAATTTTAGAAATAGCAATTTCATATTGACCCCGCCTGTCATAATGCTGCACCAGTACAAATTTTCTTAGTAAAGGGCGATAATGAATCTAAAAATCAAATAATAGCCACCAACCTGAGCCAATAAAAACAAAGTCCACATAAGAGTTGAAGGGGGTTCTTTGTTCGTCCTGTAAAAGATAAACAGTGGTTAGCTCCGTAGCACAAGAAACGAATTCCGAAGTATCAATTGTAAGGATCTTTGCCATGTCATGGCCTCATGGATAGGGATTTTTAGGGTTTCATTATGGAGATTTGCTTATGGTTTTTCCAAGGAAATTTCAATTAATGGTCTGAAAAGTTATCAGATGATGTCTTTGTCTTGAAACTCTCCTCTTCATGCAAGAGCTAACCAAGAGAAAGTTCCAAGATAACATCGGCACTGTATAAACATTTTACTCCATTCATGTTTACACACTAAAGTTAACAAATATTTTACCCTCCGGGATATTGGCCTGACATCCTAATTGACTGCTCTAACTCGAGAATAAGTTGTTCCAAAATGTCTGCCTGGACAAAGTTTAAGGAAAAAAGAACAATCAAAACCCACAGAATCACTAATGTCCAGCCTTATTAATTCATAATATACAATAATGGCAGCAAAAATAAACATGAAATCTCAAACGCTTAATAGTAGAAATGTGACAAAACTAACCTTCCAAGGGTGATTGTACAAAGATGATAGATCAGAAAAGAGAGAGGGAACTCCCTAGAAACAACACCAAAAGAAATCCCTATCAAATTTTAAACAACTAAACTAGACATAATCCAATATGAAAAGGTAATTTGTAAACCTTTGTTAGGAGAGGCCTAATATAATTGGCAGCTGCTTCTCGAAATTTGTCACCTTGTAGAAAATCTAGTGGTATTCTCTGACAAATAAAAGATTAAAAAAAATGTGATCCAATAATAACTAATGCTGATAAAAAATATACAAGTGGAATATCAAAACAAGGCTTCCTTCATTGGCATAAATCTTGTTAAATTATAATAAAAGAGAGAAAAAAAACTAAGGTCACACTTTTTTCAGCTAATAGATATTAAATCCAAGTTTCTCAATATTATCCATAAAGCAAGAAAAATTGAAATTCCCACCTCCTAGTAAAATATATAGCAATGAAGCAAAGTTTGAATGGCTAAACCCATTTCCAGAGAAAGGAAGTAACGAATATATCACAACTCATAGTGATACAAAGACAGAAATATATATTTTACATAGACAACATGGCAGAAATATTAGTTAAGTGATAACTGTTATACAAGACGGCAGATAATAATAACAGGTAAAAACAACTACAGTAACAATACACAGCATTACCTTAACAGCAGAAGACCACTTGTACTGTTGTACAAGTGTTTTGTACAACGCATCTAGCTGATCTACTTGATCAGGCGAGTACTGGCCATCTTCTAGATATAGTCCAACACACTTTTGGAGTCCTTCATAGTATCTGAATGGTGACATGAATCATGAACTAAAATTCAGTTTCTACAAGTATAGTAGACAGAATAAGCGATACCACAAACATAAATACAGCGTAGATAACATATCAAACCAAATTTAAAACAAAAAATTAATTTAAAGCAATTCTGCAACTGAATCAAAATCACCCTCATCCATTTAAATTGGTCACTAATAAAAAAGATTATAGTTTATATTAAAATTAGGCCAAGACATGCACTGCTTATCATATACACAAAAATACAGTGTAGAAAACATATAAAACCGAATATAGCTTCAAAAGAAAAAGCTAACTTAAAACAATTCTGCAAATGAATCAAAATCATCCCCTCATCCATTTACACTGGTGGCTAATCAAAAAGATAATAATTTCTCTTAAAACTAGCACAAGACAGGCACTACTCATCCAAATAAAACTTCACACAGAACCCACCCACCTATAGACATAGGGTAAACAATAGTTTCCAGTGCCTAACTGCGGCACATAAAAAAAGAGTAAAAAATTAAAAAAGCAGCAAGAAGCTTCAAAATCAGATATTTATGTCAGATTTCAACTTAAAATCAATGAGCAAAGTGCCCAAACTGCACCTCGAGAATTGAGTCAAGGATGTGGGACTCTCTCCAACATCCTTTAGACATGTGCCCACCAATGACTAAGAAGAGTTATAAGCTGAAACCATGTCAAACTCTAAGAAATAGGCCAAAAATGCTTTGTTCTCCCAGTGCAAATTTTTCATATAAATACCATTTTCTAGGCTATCATTCTAATTTTCAACCCACTAAAATAGTAAAACTATCTTATATATATATATATATATATATATATATATATATATATATATATATATATATATATATATATATATATATATATATATATATATATATTTCAACAGATTTCTTAATTAAATCAATAATAGTAACAAATATAATAAATGGATAATCACAAATAATTTGTTGTGACCTACATTTTGTTGACAATGGAATACAATTCTTTCAAAATTAAGAAAAGATATCTTGAAACAGGGTAGAGTTCCATTTTTCCAATAATTTGGCTCTCTAAATTAACCGTAGCTTCAAAAAATACTTAGGGGTCCAGTAAAAGAAATACGCTATGAACTCTACCAGTAAAAAAAAAAATACCTTAATATTAAATTTAAGGATAAAAAAGGACTAAAATTACATACTTTCAAAAGTTGGAGGATTGAATTCATAAATTGAAAATATAAGAACTAAAGAAAAGTTTGAAAGAAAAAAAAAATATATATATATATATCCCTTAATTCTTTGATATTATGCAGCATATAATGAGATCCTTCAACGCTTATTTAACGCCTGACTTAACTTCTATTGTTTTAAATATTGTAGAATATTGAAAATATGAATTTAACTATCACCAATTCAACCATAGTTGAACCGGTACATAAACAGTTTTAAATGACAAATCCAATTTTTAAAAACATTGACAAAAACTAACCATAAGTTTTTTGATAAAAGGATATTAGGAACTTTTATAATGTGAACGACAAAGTACATCCAAATAACTTAATATAATAAGAGAAGAAATATATTTTTTAGATGAAATATTTGCAGCTTATATACAATAAAGATATAAAGCTAAGACAAGTTAAACAAAAAATAGATATCATTCATATGTCTTATGATAAATGGTGAGAAAGTAAAAGCCACAGTAATGACAAAAGTATAATTGAACCATCACATAAAACATGCATTTCAGTCTCACTATTTGAGACATAATGAATAATTAAAATGGAAACAATAAAAGGAAAAACACAAAAAAAACAAGCAAAACCTGAAGAGGAAGAATCAATTAAGATACTCAAACCCAACATATCATATAAGTGACAACAGAGATCACCTATAATTATCAGGATTCATTGAAAGTAATGCCCGATACAAAGTTTCGCCTTCTTTCAAGTGACCAAGCTTTACAAAAAGTGACACCTCCTGTTCTTTGTATGCAAGTTTATCAACCTAGAAAGACATAATCAGAAGCGAGTTAGATATCATGTATTAGTTACACGTATCACATTACCCGGTTAATAAAACTATAAAAGACATACAATTTTATATTCTTTTTTGCGCAACTCCTCCAGAGCTCTCTCAAGAAAACTGCATTCCTCTAACAACGAGATCTGGGCAATAATATTTGGTGCAGAGAAACAGTATAGGGGAAGGGAAAATATTAGTAGTCAAACCATATAAAATAAGAACTCTTGGAACTGACAACAAAAAGATTCATATTCAATCCAATGTAATCTGAATAGAATCATATATTTCTGAATATATCTTAATATAAAAGTAACATAAAAATTCCATTTGATTTATAAAGTCATAGTGTATACAAGCTATCATTAGCATCACATAAGATAAAAAAATATTTCAATTTCAATTACATTAGTCCGTGTAAGGGTTTGATTTTCAGGATGTGATGAACACCATCTCGAGGGAATAGGTGTTATGATTTCTCCAAGGCTAGTTTAATAAAATAACTGATCCACAAAAACAACCAAAACGTATACTAGACAATGACTACCATTTCGGTTGGACATAATTTTAAATAGATCAATTTTAAATCATTGACCCAATCACATGGTCAGTTCATTTTATTGTCAATCTGACAATCAATAAGGCAAAAGCCAAAATCCACAAAACAGATCACTGGATTTGTAGCTTGTAAAGTTACAAGATTTTGTCATTCAGTTTATTATTAAATATTAGCAGTTTTTGTTACAAAAGTTTGATATCGTGGCTTCAAAGTCACAAAATTTTGTCATTCAATTTTTTTATTAATTATTAGCAGTTTTGTTACAAAATTTGATATCGAAAAGTTAAATAAAATTAACTAAATAATGTTACCAAACTAAAATATTCTGTGTATACAAACAGATAACTCCAGTGAAAAAATATATATCATGCATCACATTGACAGAAGAAAACCTTGTACAAAAGCATTTCCCCATGCTCGCACCGTTCATTTTCTGGAGGATAATCTTCTTCTAGAGTACCTTCATACGCTTCCAAAATTTCAACGGCTTTGGATGCACTGACACATGCACACGTTCAAAGATCAGTATTAGAAACAACCAAATGAACAAAATTATGATATTTTCCACAGTCGATCATTTATAATAATGGATCAAAAGTAATTCTTGATCCAAATATTCAAATTATAAAGATCAAAAACGAAAAACTTATAAAACATTTCAATAGAACTGATCACTACATTCCAGATTTAACAAAATGTTAACTAATACAATTACAATTAATGAATTAATGACTGAAGAAGATGCAAGAACTAGGTTGAGAGCCCAAGATCATATTTCTGTGGGTCTTGCTAGGATGGGTCTTGTTAGGATATAAAAGAAAGAGAAATAACATCTAACAACAAGCTAATAGTTCACATGAAATTAGCCCTTGCCTTTTAAGATCATGTTATGCTTGATAGTTGTGAGTTTAATATCTCGCTTTAAAAATATGAAAACTCATGCCACAAAGAATCATACAACTTAATTACAAATAAAAAAACACAAAGAGTCGTACAACTCAGTTATGAGACTAACATTTCATCACCATTTGAGAAAACAATTTAACATAAAAGTAGGAGTGACTTATAAATTGCATATATTGATTATTTATATACCAAGGACATAAACAGGACAACAAGAACGTAAACATGGAGAGGAAACAAAGATATGAGACCAACAATTATCACCATTTGAGAAAACAATTTAACATAAATCCAAAACAAAATAATACTTGGAGTTCAAATGATGGGCTACAGAAAATCCAATCCAATTCATGCGATGATTTGGCTTCAAGGTCAAAAGTTGTTGCCTTGTCTCAACAAAACCTGTTAAATCTCGCATTTGTGCCTGGAAGTGAAAAATAAGAAACATCATAATTCAATAGTAAAAAATCACTTGATATATATATATATATATATATATATATATATATCTAAATTAATAAATATAAAATAAAATAGTTCGGTATATAATTTATAGTGTAATTCCAAAAATGTGTAAATAGAAGTGATCTATAGGAAATGAAAATGGATGGCAAAAAATGTTTCCACTCATTCAAACTTAAGTACATGCCACCAATGTCATCATAAAGAGTAACATCCAATCCAATCCGATCTAATTCAAATTTATTGATATGTAAAGATATTGATACATAGAAGAAAAAATAAAGACAATTACGTTTAAAAGGTTACCTGGAGTAGTGATAGATCACGAAGAATTTCAATATTGTCAGGATCTATTTTTAGTGCATTTCGATAACACTTAATTGCCTCCCTATATTCTCTATCTGATCGATAAAGAAGACCATAAACATGCCAGCAAACATGACTTTTAAGGTCATTCTGCATCAGAACAAACAACAAAAAATTGGATGACAAAGGACTATTGTAATATTAATAAATAAAATAAAATTAAAAATAACAAGCAAACCTTTAATCCTTGACGAACAAGTTCATATGCTTCAGATTTACGATCCATGCAATTTAACGTCAAACCCTTCATCGACAAAGTTTCTATCATCAAAAGAAGAATGGACACATAAATAAAATTATAAAATCATGAAGAGAGAAACAAAATAATAAGGAAAAGGGGTTGGGGACTAAGACTGCAGGACTTACTTAAACAGTTATAAATATAAATATATAGCTGAATCCTAACATAAAGCTTAAAAAAAATATATATATATACCTCCATGATCTGGAAATTTTTTCAAAATAGCATCAGCAGCTTTGAGGCCCTTTTTATATTGTTTGGTTTCATATGATTTCTGCAGAAATCAGAATGATAAAACCTTCATATCGAATTTAAACACCACCTCAAATCAAATTTAAACACAACCTCAAATCAAAAATATTATTTCACTTGCATAAATATCATAAAGATTTTTATTTCAGGTGTTAACATTTTTTTTAGTTTAATTTCAAATTTCGCAGCATGGCCAAATGATTAGTCTAGTATCCTGCACACAAATAATCTTTCGTATTTTTTTATCTCTCTACTTATCACATCATATCCTACTATCCATACACTCCTCTCTTTCTCTCCTGTACGTGGGATAGCATGGAGCTGACCATGCAACATTTTCTTCCATAAAAATAACCCTATCTACAGTCATTTCACTATCAGTTCCAACTCCTGAATTGTGTGTCGGGAAGAGAAAAACAGAGAAACAATAAACTCTGAAGGGCCGACCTACCCTAATCCCGTGGTTAGGAACTACAATAATTACAAAAAAATAATAATAATAATAATTAAACTGAATATCCCAATTTCCCTCCCTTCATACTTTTGCCCCCGATTTGCAACGCCGAAATAAAATACTTGAAAACAAACAAAAACAAGCAGATAAATTACCAAAGTTCAAAGTAAGAAATTACCCATCCTCGGAAGACAGACAAATTAGAAGAACGAAATTCAACCGAAGATCCCTAACTATCCTTCTCGTAGATACCTAGAGACTAACTCTCCTTCGGAGATATATATAGACTAACTATCCTTCTCGTAGATACCTAGAGACTAACTATCCTTTTCGTAAATTCTTAGAGATTGTAAATGAGGGAATACAGCGTAAGTACAGAATCTAGGGTTTTAAGATGGGAAGCGGCACAGTGAATAAAGTTGCGTCAAGCTTCACAGAGCACACATAAAAGTAAAAGGAGATGACGTAAATTGAGGAGAAATCGAAACTTACAACAATAAGCTTGAAGAGGTTGGCCTCCTTGGAAGGCAGAGAAGCGCCCATTGTTACTGAGAGTGTTGTTGCAGATAGAGAAAAAGATTCGATGAAAATGGAATTGGTAATGAAAATAAATGATAGGGTCACGAGAGAGGATGGCGTTTTGTGAGCTGCAAAGCAAAGAGGCTAAGCAACCCTACTGTCAACACGAATGAAACGAAGATGTGCGCTTATGTATCTCTCATTTTCACTTCTTATACAATCAATTATCATTTATTATCAAACCCAGTTTTACTTTTTTTTTTATTATTTGAAATTAATTTTAAATATTTATTATAAAAATTAATAATTTTATCATAGTAATTTACACTTACCTCTAACAAATATAGTTATTCAGGTGAATATTACTTTGAAGGTGATTTACTAAACATCACTAGAAATATTACTTTGTGTATTTATATTATCTTAAAAATTATTAAAATATTGAAATCGTGTATTAATAAAAGTTTCTTATGAAGATTAAAAAATTTATTCATCTTATAATTTTGAAAAATTAAAAAACTAACACCCCTCAAACAAAAACAAAATAGTATTGTTGTGCTTATTTATTTGAATTTATTATTAGTAGTTTCTTGTGAATTTTTTGATATTTTTTCAACTGGATTTTTAATATTTTTGTGTGAACTTTAATTGTATGTATAAATAATATTTTCATGAAACAGTTTTATTGAAATATTTGAGACTCTTTTTTTCTAACATTTTATTTGAACTTGAATAGAACATTTTGTTTTTTAAAAACATCCTTTGCACTACATTGGCTAGTTGGATCTCGGTTCGGGTCCATTACCCGTCGGCTTCTCGGCCCAATAATAGGGCCTCGTGTGCTACTAACACATATTGCTTATGGCTGTTGCTTCCTCCACCTCCTAATTTCTTCCTCCACCCATAATTATATTAAATCTTATTTTACTCTTATATTTATCTTCATCTTTATTTTTATAATGCATTTTGGATTAATCTTGCTGGAATCACATTCTAAAACACATAATCCAAAATACATTTTTGGATTGACCTTTCTAAAAACATATTCTGTAATACTCAATCTAAAATATATTTTTAAAATTCAACCTTATTTTTACGATCCTATTTAAGATGGAGTAATTTGAATCTTTTGTACAATTTAAATGCATAAACATGTAATTCATATATAATATTAACAATTATTTACTTTTAATTGTTAGAAAAGACTTTCGAGATGATAACACAAAAAAATCAATATAGTCAAAGGATTGAAGTATTGAGAGATGGAGATGTACAAGTTGTATACAAATAAATAAAAAAAAATTAGGATAAAAAATAAAATTATGAAAAAAGTCTTTTAAATATTTAATTTAAGATATGGAGACGGAGAAAGAAATTACCGGCAGAAAGAGTCGTCTATCGTCTCTTTCACCTTTTTATTTATCACCATTTCATTCTTTGTATCTCCAAATTATTTCATTTTATTTATTTCAACACTTATTAGCATCTTTACATTAAAAGGAAGAAAGATAAAAAATAGAAAGTATGATTATTTTTTAAAATTATTTTACAGAAAGAGAGAGAAAGAAGTTAACTTTTCTATCTTATTATATGGTTGTGTCTATGTCTGTATCTATCTATATTTACACATACATAAAATGACAAATATTTCTAATAAAAGAGAAAAATCCGAGAAAATATTTTCCTTGATGAGAGTTGAGTGTTTGCCTAGTTGATATTAATTATTAATCTCCACACATGAGTCTTTTAATATTTTTTTTTTTGATGAAAATGTTATTATACCTTATCGATTGTCACCACTTTGTTAATTAGGGCCACCATATATTTAGAACGTGTTTGAAAGTTAAAATTGAGAGAAAAAAGAAAGTGGGGACCCCTTTTTTATTTTGATTTTAATGAATGCTTTCCAAATGAAGATGTTGTATTTTGTAGGGATACGTCATAAGCAACGTATTCCAATTCCCAATGTATAACCCAGCGTAGGGCTTGAACCAAATTTTCTGATTATACATTGTATCGATTTTGGAGATTCATGCATTAGAGTGAACGAACATGCATGCATATATATTTCATATATGTAGTTGAGTTATCATCTTTATCTTTTATTGCAACTTTTTTTCTGTTCCTTGATGGCTTCTCAAAACTGACACAGAAATTGACAAATCGATAAATACATACTAAACGCTCAACCACTTCCATCACCTAAAAGTTCAGGCTAGAAGGGCTCTCTGTATATTTCAAAGGTGATGACAGAGAATCCAATATCAAACCAAACTCGTTAACAGAACATTGATGTAAACTTCTACTAGAGTGTTGTTGACAAATTATTCTTCCAACTGTTGAAGAAAATTTAACAGTGCAGCCATGTTTTTCCAAGAATGCATGATTAAAGATTGTCTGGTTTATTTGTTTTGCTTGCAATATGAAGATATATTTGTCTGTTATGTCCATTAATAAATGCAGATACTTTCTATAATTGGACTCTTAAAGTTGAAACTAAAATAACTTGTGTCCACTTGTTATAATTAAGTTACCCCTTCTGTCAAGTATTAGAGGATATTGTTCTACTTAGATTAAAGATTTATATGTGTTTTTCATCTAAAACAACTTTCGAACTTCTAACTCGACGTGAATTCTAAGTCACACTTATTTCATCTCAGAATTGTTTTTATTTTCTTGATAAATTATGAGAAGAATACTGAAAAAACTAACATTTGTTCCACAAAAAGAATTGCTGTTGTGGATGGAAACTTGAATGGTTATCAAGTTCACATGCTAGCACGTTGAGCAATCACCATCAACTGTGTATAAAATGGCTTGCATTTTCTCTTTTATAGAAATGGAGAGGTTGTTGAATTGTTTATTCACTCTTCTAGAAGCTCTGGAATAAGAATATCTCACACTAATCCCAACAATGGAGTGGACCAGGGCCACCATGTTGGTCATGGCATGATACTAATACACAGTTGTTGTCGAGTGGGTCATGCATTCTTTTAACCTATTTTACACGCTACATTGTTTATCTTTCATCACTTTAACTAATTTTTGGTTCCCAGTGGAAGAATCTCATACAAACTTTGCTTCTAGAAAATGAATAATATTGTGCATTAGCTCCTGAATATGTGGATTATTCAACGCAAACTGATATATATAAAATTATGTTTTTTTCCGACAAAATATTATCGCGTCTTATGATTGTCAACGGAAACATGTTTCAAGCTAACGTTAGTTGATCTTTAAATTTGGTGGAGTTTCTAGGAGGTGGCATTTAAATATTTGAGTTAGAATAATTTTAAAAGAGAAGTAATATTAGTTAATGTATTAATTTGTAAGAGATGGATTTTATGTCAGGTGTTAACATGGTGGTAAACGTGAGTCAACCGATTAATCACAGGTTTATTGGATTAGATTTAATTTTTTATATTTATATTTTTATTAATAATAAGTTAAAAATAAATTTAGCTCACTTAATTACGGATAAAGTAAGTTCGAGTCAGGTGAATTGACCTATAACTTACTATTTATTTTAAATTTTAAAATTAATTATAATAATGTAATTAATATTATTGTGTCTCTCTATTTCTATTTCATGTGATTGCTATAAGTCAAACTTTCACTCAAGTTTATAATTAATTATCCACTGCACCATTGCGTTTGTTGTTGTACTTGGATCGTTTGTCATTTGTTTGTCGCATCATTATGTTCATCGTTGTATTTTGGTAGTTTGTGTTGGGTACTAGAGGGAAAAAGAAATCTTCACTTGCGAAAACACACACGAGAGAAACAAACTCAGAAATTATTATGATTCGACATTTCTTGCCTACATCTACTAACACACTCAATAACATTTTATTTCTTAACATATAATTTTTGCAAAGACAAATTGCAAACTCTCTCGTACAATTTTTGTACAAAAAAATTACAAACCCTCTCTTGACACATAACTACCCAGATCTCTGATACACCCAAACACTAGTGTTGTTGTGGTGAGTAGACCCAAACTATCACACACTTTTTGGCACAACAGTTTGTCATTCGTCCACCGCATCATTGTATTTGTTGCATTTCAATCCCGCATTTCAGTCAAGTCACAACGTTTGACATGTGACCGTCAGTGGCGGATCTTGACCATTGATCTTGGAGGGTCAAATAATATATTATTAATAAATATAAAAGGAAGAAAGAAGATGAAATGGTGAAAAGATAAAATTGTAGATATATACTTAAATATATTAAATGATCATTAAGTTTTAGGGGAACAAAATCATAAATTATATGAGAGTTACAAAAGCGAGGAGGGACTGAGAGGATAAAATTGTAAATATACAAGTAAATATATTAAATGTTCATTATGTTTGCGAGGGTCAAAATCATAAATTACATGGAAGTTACAAAATTTTGGGGGGGGGGGTCACGGTCCCCCTCAGCTCCCAAGAAAATATGCCACTGGTGACCGTATTATAACATTTCAGTCATGTCATAGTGTTTGTCGTACCACTACGCCACTATATTTCAGTTGCACCATAGCATTTTTCGTGTTTCAGTCGTGTCATAACGTTTACTGTGTCACTACGCTATTATATTTTAATTTCGTGATTCAGCTGTGCTTATTAAAAAAAATTGAAAAAAAAATATAGGTTAGTGAGTTAACCCACCAACTCGTAATTGGTTGAACCGGGGTATAAAATTTTTGGTTCACCATAAAATAAATCGGGTTGAACTCACCTATTTTCAACTCAGTTCCACGACAACTCGTATGAAAGTTGGGTACGCCCAACTCATCTATGGAAATCCATTTTGATTATATGATTGATTCTTATAATTGATTGTCTGGTGTAATTATCAGATAGTTATTATTATTAATTACGTATAGTTGTTTCACAATAAGGGGTTAATGCCTCTGGATTAGTTTATATATAATTAATTTACGATAAGGTAGTCTTTAACAAATTATAATAAAACGTATATTATATGATATGGAGTAGTTTAAAATATATTATCGAATTTTGTAGTGTTACATACGA